GGACATTCTTAAATAAAATGTCCCCAATCTTCTGAATGGCCATGCAATAAAATTGGCCATGCATACCTCCCACCAACCCCTCCCTATCAAACTAGTGATAGAAATCCCAAAAGTGCTTTTCAAAAGGCGACTGGGCTTTCTTGATTTTTATTCCTGGAAAACATTTCACCTCTCATCCAAGAAGCTTCTTCAACTTCTGGCTGAACGGTGAGGAATGGAAGGATTTATATTCCTTAGCAGTTATCTGGTAGAATTTGAGTCCACTTGGGGATTTATCTGTACCCTCAGGATCACCTGAATCAGAGTGCAAATGGGTGTGGAACCTTCTTGGGCCTGCTGAAAGGACTGTGTTTGAGACAGGAGATGGGTGGTGTCATATCCCTCCCCCTCTGTTGAGGTAAGGCTATTCAATTTTAATGCAGATGGCCTCTTTGACCCCTCTTTCAAACCAGAGGTCCTCTCTGTCCAGAATGTGTACTTTGATGTTTTCAAATGACTGAAATAAATATATTACTTACTTCTAATATTTAATTTTTTTACTTCTATATCACATGGATTGTCAAGCTTTGCAGTACTACCGGTAGAAATACACATTGCAGGCTTGTGTAGCAAAATGAGGAACAAAGCTCAAAGAAAAGACTGTGGAAACCCTATAAAAAATTGCAACAGATTTTCTTGGGCAAGCCTGCAGTTTGGTTGTATAGGCAAAGCAGGGAGTAAATTCAAATTAGTCACTTGGTGACTTTATTCCTTTTAAAATATGACAAAAATGGATATACTAAAAAAATGTGGTCTAATATCCAGTTAATAGTGTACTGTATATTACAGAAAAAAAGATTTTCTAAAAAAACTTTCAATAACATTTTGATGTCACCGATAATTTCTGATTATAAAGCTGATATATTAGAAGCTTCTCCCCAAGTCCAATCATAATTCAATAATTGTTTTATCTTAGCTATCTAAATTTATCTTTACTCTATGCTTCTAGGGATGTGAAAGTTATCCAGTATCACTGCATTGTTCTAGGAAATAAAACATGCAGGAGAAGGAAAAAAGGAAAGAAGGAAGGAAGGAAGGAAGGAAGGAAGGAAGGAAGGAAGGAAGGAAAGAAAGAAAGAAAGAAAGAAAGAAAGAAAGAAAGAAAGAAAGAAAGCAAAGCATCAGAATCCACATATTCACTGAAGCATTTAAAACTATAATATATCACTATTTAAATAGCCCTTCTTCCAAATCAACTACAAGAAATTCAGCTAAATGCAACTACTAAGTAAACTTTATGGCGTGAGAGCAACATGCAATAGACAGGGGCATACCTCACCATATTAGGTAGTCAATAACCCAGAAAACAGAAAGGAGAACATAGGCCTAATAAAGTCATTGCTCTTGAGAGCAACGAAGTTTCTGATAATAAAGCAAAGAAATGAGAAACAGATACCACACAGATCAGCAGAAATAGCCCTGGGATTGAGAATTGGAAGGATTTAAGCAGGGCTCTCTAGTGAAAACGGAAGTTTAATTTTCTTTCCCAGGGGAAATGTGAAATTAACAAGAAAACAATATTGTATATGCTTGCATAAAAGATACAATTTCCTCCCAGTCAAACTCAACTAGTGGTGACTTCATGGATCATCCATGTAATTTTTTCACAACACTGCATACCATTCATGCAATTCCCTTTTGACGTAAACTATGTATGCAGAGTGTGGAAAAAGAATAAGTAGTAAGTCAAATAAATTAAAAGCATCAAATAAGAAGAAGACAACAATACATAGCTAAAACTAATTTATACAAACAGCAAATATTCTACTTCTCCATCTTTGCGAACTTTGCTTTCCATCTTTGTTCACATGTCTACATATCACTGCATACACTGTTTTCCATTCTGAACCACTCTGTGCATTCCATTTAGTCTTGTATATGTTTAATTCAATCAAATCAAATACTGCTCTTATAACATCTGGTAACTAAATTTCAAGTCCACTTGTATGCCACATGCAGTTATTTTCTGTTAATAGTTAAGGACATACAGTTTTGGTAAGCCAAAAGTGCAATCAAGGCCTATACCTAATCATGATACTCTATGCAAACTATGATTTCTAACTTAGATACAACCTTGCAAGTTAATATATTGTTACCTACAACTCACAGCACAAATATATATGCAGCATACCAACATTCACTCAGGATGCAGAACAATTACAATCGACATGGCTCCTTAAATCAAAACTCCAAATAAATGCAATAGGAGATTCCCACTTTCACATACTCACTGAAAAAGACTAGTTCATATAACTAGTTCCCAACATTATGTAATGTTGCACATGCCTAGCCTCATGCTCATTGCAATAAGCCTTGCCTACTGTGAATGAATGTTCTACTACATAAAACTTAGATATGTTTTTCTAGTATTGCTCCTGAATCAAGCATATTTTCCATATTTTAGTGCTCCAGATATTAATAATTTCAGGTAGTAATTCAATGTCAAAGGATATATTCTCAGTATTTCCTTAGAGCCTTGGTGGCTCAGCAGACTAAAGTGCTGTTAAGTAGCCCCAGCTGCCTGCAATTACTGCAAGTTCAAATCTCACCAGGCTCAAGGTAGACTCAGCCTTCCATCCTTCCGAGGCAGGTAAAATGAGGACCCGGATTGTGGGGGCAATAAGCTGACTTTGTATAAAAAAGAACACCGCTTGTGTGTGGGGTGGGGGGGGGCGAAAGCCCTACTAAGCAGGTATATACATAAGTATGAAGGCTATTGCTTAACGCATTGTAAGCCACCCTGAGTCTCCGGAGAAGGGTGGCATATAAATCAAACCAATAAACAATAAATAAATAAATTTTTTAAAAATAGATATGATAACCACGACTAAATGATTTTCTTTACAGACAGTTACTGTAAAGAGAAAAAAATTCTGGAATAGAATAAAGCATTATTAAAAATAATTAAGACCATTGCATCTTACAGATAAATCACATTCAGAAAACTAACACTTTCCACAGTAAAATTTATTATACATTTTCAAAGTCTCATATTTGATTAAAATTATTCTAAATTCTCTCAGAGTTTACGCCTAATATAAAAATGCAAAAGAACTGAATACAAAGTTCAAGTTACTATACAGTCTTAAAACAATCTATAGCAGAATAACAGGGTTGGAAGGGACTTTGGGAGTCTTTTAGTCCAAACCCTTGCTCAAGCAGGAAACCCTATACCATTTTAGACAAATGGTTGTCCAGTTTCTTCTTAAAAACCTCCAGTGTTGTAGCACCCACCACTTCTGGAGGCAGGTAATCCCACTGATTAATTGTTTTAACTTTCAGGAAATTCTCCTTAGTTCTAGGTGTTTCTCTCCTTAGTTTCTATCCATTAATATTGTCAGATTTTTTCCATGGTCTACAAAAAAGAGTAATTTACAGTCCCATCACTCAAATGTTTTATATGTTGACAGTAGCCTGTTTCAGTTTTTCCTTTTCCTATATGAATCATTGCTTTTTTATATCTTTTAAGCAGTCTCTTCTAACTGACCTATGTGTAATTAATCATTATATATAAAGCAGTGGTGGGTTTCAATTTTTTTTACTACCGGCTCTGTGGGAGTGGCTTGGTGGGAGTCATGTGGCTTGGTGGACGTGGTTTGGTGGGCATGGCAGGGGAAAGATACTGTAAAATCTCCATTCCCTCCCCACTCCAGGGGAAGGATACTGTAAAATCTCCATTCCCTCCCCACTCCAGGGGAAGGATACTGTAAAATCTCCATTCCCTCCTGATCAGCTGGGACTTGGGAGGCAGAGAATAGATGGGGGTGGGGCCAGTCAGAATTTTTACTACTGGTTCTCTGAACTACTCAAAATTTCCGCTAACGGTTCTCCAGAACTAGTCAGAACCTGCTGAAACCCACCTCTGATATAAAGATATTACACTGTCATACAATAAATCAGATTTGACTAATAAAAGGCTGGCAAAGCCAACTGAAAAAAAGAACTAAAGTTTTGCCTAATTTCTGAGTGTTCTAATTGTGCTACATTGTTAATCAACTTTTTTTTTTTAATTTGATTTATATGCCGCCCTTCTCCGGAGACTCAGGGCGGCTTACAATGCGTTAAGCAATAGCCTTCATACTTTTGTATATTTATACAAAGTCAGCTTATTGCCCCCACAAACTGGTGCCTCAATTTACCTACCTTAGAAAGGATGGAAGGCTGAGTCAACCTTGAGCCTGGTGAGATTTGAATTTACAGTAATTACAGACAGCTGGTGTTAATCACAATGCTATCAGTCTGCTGAGCCACCAGGCCCACTTGGATGAAATTTTACAGAAGTAGAAAAATCTGAAGTTATCTCACTTTACGTTGTAGAAAGCATCCATAAATTGTACCATATACTGGTCTAGGCATAATTATTTGATATTTTTTTCAGTTCATATATCACTTCAGGTTGAAAAATAAAAAACTACCTTATTTTCTATACATTGGGTTTCTTAATAACTTATATAGAAAATGTTTTTTTGTATTCTACTCCTGTTATTTTGCCATTTCTGGTTTTGGCAAAAGCATAAATCTGATTTATGGAGTGGCCTTTCCAATTATATCATAAATCAGTTCATCCATATGTGGCTGAGCAAAAAATAAAACATGTTGTATTTTTTTTCATAAGCACTGAAGTCTTATTCCAAAGACTCAGCCTTGCTTTTTTTATGTTCTCAGCAACTTCCTCTATCGCCTCTGCCTTCATAATTATTACATAGCAATCTTTTTACATATCAAGCTAGTAAGCTATAGTTTAGTGAAAAACAAAAATACTAATGATCATCATTATTATAGAAGGGTAAGAAGAGAATACCTATTACAAGGAACAGAAAAATAATCCAAAATGTACTGGAAATGATTTTAAATCAAATCTATTTCTTTTAAAATGTAAATGAGTTGAAAAACAGTCTTGGAACCAAAATGTCATATGAAACAGCTCATGGACAAATATCTATTTATGTCTCTTTGTTTACCTTGTCCTCCATTACTTCTTCAGTACCATCTATTTCTTCATCCTACAAAATAAACATACAAACCATAAACATTTGAAATAAATGAATTTTCTTCGTATGCTAACTAAAAAATGTACTCAAAGAAACCTACTGAGGCAGACAATACTCATTTTTATATTATTTAGACCCGTGATGGCAAACCTATGGCACGGGTGCCACAGGTGGCACACGGAACCATATCAGTGGGCACGCGAGCGCTGCCGTAGCTCAGCTCCAGCACGCAGGCGTGCTCCGGCCAGTTGATTTTCGGGCCTTTCAGTCCCACTGGAAGTTGGGAAATGGGCTGTTTCCGGCCTCTGGAGGGCCTCTGGGGGGTAGGGAAGGCTGGTTTTGTCCTCTCCTGGATCCTAGAAAGCCTCTGGAGGGTGAAAAACAGGCCTACCAGGCCCACTATGCCATCGCATGCTAAAAGCAGGGGGACGCAGAGTGGGTCGTGTGCATGGGGGCGGGGCGCATTGAATTATGGGTGTGGGCACACACATGGGCAACCTCCCCGTGCTCCCTCTGCTTTTGGCATGCAATGGCAAAAAGGTTAGCCATCACTGATTTAGACAATACTATACCAGAGTATACCGGAAAAACATCTGGTAAGTAATATTAATTAAATCTTTGAAATTATTTGAATGTTTGAACATGAATCTCCAGCTAAATTGTAAGTTAGTTGACTGCAAAATGTGTTTAAAACACAATGAAAACTATTTTTAGAAAAAGCTTTCTGAAGAATATTAGAGACAGAGTCGCTAGATATACCTTATCCCTGTATCTCTTACCATAATTTAGTAGAAGCATGTTATCAATCTGCAAGGTCTTGTTTCATTACCCACTTGAACAGTTGTTTCATTACCCATTTGAAACACTATAAATTTCATTCAAACATATTTCTATTTCTCCACACTGTGAGTTGGATGATTGTAATTTCTGAAACTTGTTAGTGGTTACTGAAGTGCAACAGCATGTTAAATAGTTCATGAGCTTTTAAACCAGGTACAGAAATTTGAAAAAACCTTTTCAAAATTCATATTGGGTTTTCAGTAACTTTCCAAAGGTGTGCTGGGGATTGCAAAGAATCTGAGCATTATACCCAGTAGTTCAGCTAAGGAACTATTGATTTAGCTATATTCTAGATAAGATGATGGGCAAAACAGTGCAAATACATGACTGCAATGAACATTTAAGAGTTTGACAAACTAATCTGCAGAATAATACTATTGAAGGCCTTGTGAATCAATTACTTACTTAAATATGCATTCAACAGTACCATATTGTTATTTTAATTAGGGTTGTACACAGTAACCAAACAGTTTGCATCTTATTTTGTTTTTTAATCAATTTTATTCCTACCTTTAGAATACATATTGTAACAATTATAGTTTCACTTACATACACTGAAGGGCTTTTGTTTCCATTTGTAGAATTACATCATGCCCTATGTCCTTAACAATTAGGTAGGGATATATGTCTAATCCGCTATCCATCCCAGTGGATCAGAATTTAATCTTTCATTCTTTGGTTTCATGTATGAATGACAATACCTACATCCTTTGTAAAGAAAGAGATTCCAGTGCCTCTCCGTCTCTCTTTTGGTCGCCTTCTCTCTCTTACTGATTGCTTGTTTGAAGTTCTGTCATCCAGGTCCTGATCTTCGTATTCTGCTAAAAGAAACAAAGCTTTAGCTAAAAATAGTAATTTATTCAACCATGGGATCATTTTCAAAATAAGGCAAGATAGTACTCATACAGAGAGATTTGTTTAGCCTCATCATCTATCAATCTATACCAATCTATATTTAAATGTTTAACACCAAACAGCAGTGGGTCTATCACGTAGAGGTGGTCCTCAGTTAATAACCATTTGTTCAGTGACCATTCAAATTTACAATGGCAACTGCAGTCACATGACTGTGATCTGCATCTTTTCCTGCTGGCTTCCCACAAGCAAAGTCAATGGGGATGCTGACAGGAAGATTGCCAATTGCTTGGGTAAGTTTCCCCACCCATACACACCTCATTGTGCTTGTGCCTCACTCCCTTGGGCACTTGCACACACTTGCACCCTTTCTCCCATCCGTTAATAGCCACTCCAAACCCTAATGTACTAGTGCCGCATCTCCCCACCACCTATGCACCCTTTGCTCCCTGTCACACCTGACAGTCACTTACCTGCCTGCTGGCCTGCTTGCAAGCCGCTCAGGACTTGCAACTTACTGCTGGCTCCCCCACCAACTTTGGTTGTTGGAAGGCAGCAGGTAGTTGCAAGGAGATGCTTGCATAGTGACCAAAAGCAATGGGTACTTAAGGGATTGCTAAGCAATGTGGTCACATGATATTAAGCTTTATGACAGCATTACTTAGAAATTCTGGCCAAATTGCCATCATAAATCAAAACCACCTATAGTGGATTCAAATATTTCAAGAGATTGCTGATTCAAAAAGAGAGGGAGAAGAATTACTATTCTTCCCAAAGAAAAGGTGCAAGATTGATCCTAAATAATCGTAAAAAAAACCACTTGAAGAAAGGTATCCCCCACCTCCTTTCCTCTCCTCTCCCCTCTCTCTGATGGGCTGCTATATTTAATATGTCTCTCATAAGGGTATACATTCAAACAGTTATAAAATATAGCAATATAAGAAGTAAATACCATTTTTTTCCATGTTGCCAGCTGATGTGCTTTGGTAATCTGCTGAGCTCAATGAATCAGAAGATACAAATCTACTTGTCTTGGGCATGTGAGAACTTGAATAAAGACTGGAAGTTAATGAAGGAGAGACAGCAGTTGTAGGTTTGTCTTGCTGTGCTAAGTATCTCAATCGACGACCAGAAGACTGTAAGAAAAACATAGGCAATAACAATTGGTACAAAGATAACGAACAAGGGCTACATGCTAAGGTTAAAACTAACAGTATTATATCCCTTTAGCAGAGTTGAATATATATGTATAGAAAATAGTACTTCTTACCATTATGTATATAAAAACAAAGTGTAGGAGCATAGGCTATGTGAGCTATAATTAGGTGAAAAAAGAGAACATATATAGTCAGTCAGGTTTGGGTCAACTCATGACTGAACAAATGTAATGTACTGCACATGGGGCTCTAACTTTTAAAACCCTATGTGGACCGAATTATTTGGTTGTTCTGGTTTCTGACTGTCCTGTAAGATTTGACAGTTGGTTCTTTCTGAATCCCATCAACTAATCAACATTATCAAGTAGGAACTAAGAAGCAGGCCTTCATTGCCATGACATCTTCCCTCTGAAATAACATCCCACCACCACCACCAAATTTGTATGATCCTTACCCCACTGGCCTTCCAAAGAGCACTGAAAACATGGCTCTTCTCCCAGGTCTTGGGTTAAGGGTACAGAGAGCTTTTTTCTGTTTTAATCGCTGCTGATTTTATCTTTCATAATTGGTTGTTGTTCCCTCTTAATGACACTAATTTTGAATGTTAGCTTTTTATTTTAGTATTTGTATATGTTAAGCAGCTCAGTATGATTGGAGTTTAGGTGACCTAGAAATTTGAATAATAAAATAACTAACTCTACCCCTAATCATAAATCGAAAGGAAAAACAGGAATCAGAACTTTTTAGACCAAGAGTGATCACTTCTATCAACTATAAACATTATTTTTTGTAATTTTTATCAACATGTACCTGCACCCCAGTCCAACTGATAACTTCAAAAGGATTTAGATTACAAACAATGCAACTAACCAATCTTAATTTTTCTCAGGACTCTGAACAGGATATATTTTAAATAAAACAAAGCTTCATTTTATCTATACTGGAAAAATAAATATAAGCAATTATTTTCCCAGATCTTCAACTGTCTAGATTTTCTTTTTCGTTGGGATAAATAATCATCAAATAGATACAGATATGAGTCTTTGCTGTTGGTAGTTGATCAAAAATGATATTCTGGAAATATAGTGAAGTTCATTAACCCAGTATACAGATGCTATGAAAAAGACAGATTCTCTGCTGTAGTTTCCATTTATTAAGGACTAAAAATAAAGCTAACAGGATTATAACTTTGTTCACGATGTTATGGCAAAACATGAAATATATGCTGTATATAAGGAATAGGTTATCTAACTAATTTAGACTTCAGCTTCTCTGAGCCTAAGCCAGCATGGCCAATGACAAGGAGTTGTGGAACAGTAGTCTCAAGTAAGTAGAGAGCAGCAGGTTGCTTGTATCTACTCTTCACAGTTCAGGTTTCTTAATCTTAAAATGTGTATGTAGATACATGCAAATATTTCCTCCTGAATAAAAACTTAAAGTGAAAAACTGAAGGTTGAGGCAAGGCAGAAATGTATAAAATTACTTGTGATATAAATAAAACTGGTAATTAGAGCTTTATACTCAAAAAAGCAGTAATGGGCTTTGACTGACTTTAAAAGAGGATAAGATGCATTCATGGAAGAAAATATTAATAGTTTTGATGGCTATATATCAGTTCTAGTATCAGAGCTGGTTTGATATTATAATACAAGTTAAGAGGGTACTATTATACCCATTCTCTACTTCTGGTTTTCCCATAAGCACCTGGCTGACTTTTCTCTGCTCTGGGAAAACTCTTAAATTATAATTATTATTGTTCACATCTTCTGCAGAAGCCATTTAATGACATTTAAAAGGCATTTATCAAATTATGACATCTGGCCCTGCCCTTGAAATAAAATGTCAACACTGCTAACACATATTTGTTTCAACAAGTTATATTTGGACAGATCATTCTGAATACCAGTATAATCAAATCTGCTGATTAAGTGGTATATTTCTTCACAAAGATCCATTGCTATGGTATAAAAATAAAGAAAAACATTACAGAAGTGAACAGATATTTTTTTTAATAACCATCTTTTAAAAAAGATGGGAAACAAATTAAATATATACTTTTTCCTTCAAACATAATTCAAATCTATTACTCATTGAATGTCATAATTTTGGAGGAAAAAAAAGGTTTTATGTATGGCTTCACTTACCTCTTCATCCAAGTTTCTAGTCCATGGTGAGTTGACCTCCTTGGATTCTCTTCTGGTGATATCTTCTTGTTTTCCACCACTTCCCTCACTAGCTCTGAGCCTGTCTGACCTTTCACTTGGCTGTTCCTGAGTAAACCGCTCTGCACGAGACCGGCTAAAAGTTCTCTCTGCCTCCTGCAGGTCTGTAAGTGTTATACCCTGGAAAATAAGACAGTCTTTGTTAATGTGGTGTCTCTTTACAGTGGGGGGGTCCCCAACCCCCAGGCCACAGACCAGGACTCGCCCATGGCCTATTAGAAACTGGGCCGCACAGCTGGAGGTGAATGGCAGGTGAGCAAACATAACTGAAACCACAACCACCACTCCTGGTCTGTGGAAAAACTGTCTTCCACGAAACCAGTCCCTGGTGCAAAAAAAAGGGGGATCATTACTTAAAATCAATAAAAATCCCATCATAAATTATCCTTCCCACAGTGAATAAGCTTGGTAAAGTTCTAATCAGGTGATAATCAGTAAACTCAAAGCTGGGAATCAGTACTTCAAAGTATGCTAACTTATCTATTAAATATAGCATTTCCAAATATTCAATGTGAAGTAATGTCAATAAATATTCCTCCTCTGATGAAAAATAATTAGCTTTATAAAAATAACAATTTAATTATCACATGATGTTAATAACATTCTTCCTTGAAATTAGATATAAATTTCAAGAAGTAATATAAATTTATTTAAAGCAGGCCTTTTAATGGCCAAAGATGTGTAAGAAATTTTCCATTCTGAAGTGGATTAAGAAAAAACTACACAGGAAAAATTAAATAATTTAGAGATCACATTACCTTCTTCTGTAGAAGTTAATATTTCTCACCTGGGTAGATCTGCGAGTCTGACGAGCTTGCCTAGATCGAGCTTTCCTTAGAGATTCTGCTTCTTCATCTCTTACAGGTGTCAGATAGGATCTAAAATATAATAAAAAGGAAAAATCCTTTAAACGTAAAAATAGCTTTTGCAAATAAAAAATTCTGCTTATTCAAACAGTTGAGTCTTTCATCTGCTGCAGGGTGTGAAGAGGGTACCTTACATTAAAAATAAAACATGAGGGCAATTTAATTACTGAGAATAAACAGATATCCTAAAATTTTAAAGTACCTGCATGTAATTCTATGCCTAAAAGTATAACAAGGGCATAATCTTGTTGAACTCCTACAATAAGCATACGCAAAATCAGAAATCAGAATCTAGTCATTGACAAACACTAAGAATCTTTAGCATACATATAGCAATGGACTTTGGCCTAGAGATTCGCTGCAGTATAATAAAGCAGGATAAAATCACAAACAGTAATGGAATTGAAATGCCAAATGGCCAAACCACCAGGAGCCATCATGATGAAACTTACAAGTATCTGGGCATTTTACAATTGGATAGCCTCAAGCACAGACAAGCTAAACATGTGATTTATAAAGAATATATCCAAAGAGTAAGAAAACTGCAAGAGACAACATTGAATGCTGGAAACACTATCAAAGCCATCCATAGTTGGCCCACACCTGTGATATAATACACTGACAATACAAGCCATTGTTGATTCTGCTGCTTGGACTAGCCCTGCAGTTTTCTTGGCAAGACTTCAGAAGTGGTTTGTCATTACCTGTTTCCTAGAGCTGAGAAAGTGACTTGCCCAAAGAGACTCAGGTCGATTTATGCCTAAGGTGGGGCTGGAATTCAGTGTTTCTGGATTTCTAGCCTTAACCACTACAGCTTCCTTAAAATGGATACATTTAAGAATAGATTGACAACATATAATTTGGATTCACCTTGAAATATATTAAATTGAAAAAGTATATATGGGCCATGTTTTTAGCTATAGATCGGGCGGGGGGCAGCAAAGTTCAATAAAAACTGCCTGGTCTACTCTAATTTGAATTTCAAGTGTTATTTAGCAAAAACATAAACTGGAAACTATAAATTGGCATTTCGTCCCATTTGTGTTTTGCTTCCTTTTATGCTAGATACAGTATATTTGAATTAACAGGGTATAGTATTGATTTCCTGTAATGGCATATTTTGGGATATTTGGCTATATAAAGATCATTGCTGCATGTAAATCTGTTATGTGACAAAGGCTTGAATCCTTGGTCTAATTTTTCCTTGCTCAAGTTTCTTTCCTGTTTTTTAAACATAATTATATCTTATCACTACTACTAGGAAAATAGTGTAGAAATTATTGTATTTTGTTTCAAATATTTATTTTTTAAATAAATATCCACATCCAAGTTTTCAAAAAGACTACCGCCTTCTCTTTCAGCGCACCCACCAAAATAAAGGTTAGTCATGCCACAGAACCTGAGATATTGAAAAAGAAATGTAATAGTTGGAGCTTATAGGAAAAGAGTATATAGGTAGTCCTCAACATACAACCACAATTGAGCCCAAAATTTCTGTTGTTGAGCGAGACAGTGGTTAAGTGAGGTTTGCTCCATTTCATGACCTTTCTTGCCACAGTTGTTAAGTGAATCACTGCAGTTGTTATATTAGTAACATGGCTGTTAAGTGAATCTGGTTTCCCCATTGATTTTGTTTGCCAGAAGATTTCAAAAGTTGACCACATGACCTGGGGATGCTGCAACAGTCAGAAGTGAGAAAAAATGTCATAAGTCACTTTTTTCATTCTGTTATAACTTTGAATGGTGACTAAATGAATGGTCAAGGGCTACCTGTAATATTGTCTGTATATTCTATATGTCTATTGCAATTCTATATAAATTCACACTCTGGATTTATCCGATCCTCTTTGAAAACTAGCCATGTTGTTGCCCATGATTACATTTTATTGTAGTAAATTCTAGTTTAACTATGCCTGTATAAAGTAGAATTTTTTTTTTGCCTATCTATAATCACCAATCACTTCTGAAACAATGAATGATCCTAGAGTCTAATACTGTGAAAGAGAAAGAAACAATGTATTTACTTTTGTCATGTCCTTCCTAACTCAACTGTTTTGATACATTTATGCCCCATGTTTCTTCAAAAAAAATTTTCCTCAAGAAATTCAAGCCTATCTACATAGCACTCTCTACTGCACAAAGACAATTTTGTGAAGTAAATTTGACTCAATTGTCCCAAATCACTAGTGAACATCTGTGGCTGAGTGAGAACTTCAACCCTAGTTTAGTCCAATACCATTATTGTCATATTGCAAAAGGCCCACACAATGTCATCGGTCTACGAAAAAATTGGAGGAGGAGGAAGGAGCACTCTTGTCCCCAGGTTTCCAAAGGAAAAGTAGCATAGAAGTCAAACAAATAACAGGTGAATAAGATTTAATTAATACTGTAAGTATTGTCATTTATATGATGATTTTGAAAATTGTAAAATACTTTAGTGTCAGGCAGATTATTTTAGCTGCATTTATCTGAAATGGTGGGACACAATTTCAAAGTAAGCAAAAGGAACAACATGACTCAAGAAGCAGCAATCATAACTCAAAAAACTGAAGTGGAAGGTAGTATCTCATTCTCAGTATATGAAATATGACATGTGATAAATGATGCTATATCTGCTGATCTGGGCTTTAGACATCTGACATTCCTTAAGTAGAAATTAGCATATAATTTTAAAAGCTAGACAGTATTCCATTTGAGGTTAAAAAGACAGCAAGTCATCTACTGCCATCTTGTGGAATAAAGAAATATAAAAAGATGGGAAAAAGACTAGCAATTGTTTGCCTTAATTGCAAAAGACTTGTAAGATTATACTTCCTACTACTTTATATTATCCGTATGTATGTCCACATAACCATTTAAATGTTAACTTTTGCTACTACAATTATTGCTTGAAGGAAAATAGTTAAAACTTTAGCCAAACTTCTCAGTTCACAAGTCTGCTCATAGTTCATTAACACAAGGTAGATAAACAATTAACTATTATTTTCTGAGCATAAAGACCTAAAAAGAATGTTGTTAGTAAAATATCCTGGTCAAATTAAGCAAGCATGCAAAATCAATTTAATTAAAAACTTAAAAACAGCACAATAGACAATATAAATACTAATTAAAAGGTATTTTAGCCATTTTGTTGGGACCAAACAGTAAATTTAAGATATCATTTTAGGATATTATTAACATACCCATGTTTCTCTTCACAACCTTTGTAATGAAGACTACAAGTATATAGGTTTATATACTTGTATTTATAAGTTATAAATATAAGTATATAAGTTACTTGCTACTCTATTTTATCTGCCTGCCTTCCCTTCACCTTCACTTTTTAAAAATTAAGTCTCAATAAAATCATCAAAAATGCCCACCTTGAACCTTTACAGACAGACTGCCCAGGAGCTGAAATTCTTGCATGGACCGCTGCATAGGAAATCAGGAATTCAATAATAACACACAAGTCCTGACCTCTTCAACAACAACAAAAAAATGCAGCTTGCTGTCTGATAAAGCAACAGTAAACTTTTCTCTTCCGAACATGGAAGTAGTAGGAAGTCTGAAATAGCACACAGAATTCTTCCCTATCCTACATTGTCACCAGGACTGGCAGCTTGCTTTCTAAGAGGACAAACTTATCACAAAGCAATTAACAATGAAAGCAGGGCTGATAAGCACTTTCAACAGTAGGTGTTGGATGACTGCAAGCTTCTTTAAGGGTTTAGAGTCTTTTCCCTAACACAGCATGAATGGACAGATTCCTCTTAGTACCCTACAGACTAAATTTATACAGAACACTAAACCAGGTTAAGGATGCAGTGAGTACATAAAATACTACGTTAGAACAGTATTAAAGCTGTTAGTTCTTCTGGGCCTAATTATGAAAACATAGTCTGTTTGGTTAATTTATGGTTCTATTTATTGTACAACTTTAGATTCAGTTATTTTAAAAAGAAGCAAGTTAAAGAACCAGCCAGATCTTAAAACGACAATTCTCGCAACCTTTATTTTAATGAAAATATTATTGTGTGATGTACATCAAAAACCTGTACACTAAAAATATCTGATTCTGTAACTTACAGAGTAGGAACCCAAACTTTCAAGCCAAATTTAACCAACAAGGTCTCTCTGTCCTCGGAAATGTTTCCTGAAGCCTCTCTCTGGCCTGCTATCTTTTTTCTCCTGATACTTGCAACTTTAAATAACTTCAAATAAGCAAACAATATGCCAATCAAGGAACTGCCAAACATGTTAACAGTAGACAACAGCCCAATCAAGGAACCACCAAGACCACTCCCACCAACCCTGACAAAGCAAGCCACTAGTATATAAAATGAGAGCAAACTCCACTGCCAAGCAGCCCTGATGATGTTACCTAGTTTGGTAATGAAACATCCTCAAGAAAATATCCAAGCTCAGAGAGCTCCAAGGACCCTACACTTCAAATAAATTGTATCACCTTAAACCAATATTTATTGACTGCTTGTTTTTCAAAAAGTGGTATAAAGAAGCTTCTCAACATTTTAGCTCTCTGGAAGACAGTATCTGAAGTTTTTTCCCTTTGTCTGCTCCTTCCTTTGATGTTTAAGGAAGAATTGAATAAAAGTAATCAGGAACTCTTAAAGTTGCTTCTTCCAAAATAACTGATGCCTATATATGTAATTTGCGAAGAAAGAGGCTTAGAATCATTCTACCGTGAGATAAATCCTGTTTCTCACCTATTATAACCTCATGTAGTATTTCATGACTCAACAATTAGTATCTCAACTATCAAATAATATCTTTATTCGGACACATATAATGATTGAATATATTAGCCTTGAGATGTATATGACATTTTAATAAGGCATTATTATTTGTTAAGTTTTCACCTCATTTTTTTAGCCCAAAGTAAATATAACTGTAATTTGCTTTGTTGATACTGTGCCCTGTACAGAAGATACAGACACAGTCAAAGTATTTGTACCCTTTCATTTTTTCCCCAAACAATCCCAAATTTTTGCTATAAAATAAGTCTACAAGTGACACAAGTAATTGGCCATCACTGTTCTTTATTCCATTGTACATTGAGCTGACACTTTGCTTTTGATATATGACTTCATATATTCTTGTAAATAATAAAACAAGTGCAAATAGCATGGACATAATTTTGATCCTTATAATAATTACTTATAATTGGTGCTTAGTATTTACAAGAATATGTTAAGTCATACATCAAAAACAAAGTAGTTGCTCTATGCACTATGGAATAATGCATGGTGGATGCCAAAAGTTGGCCACAATGGTAGCTTAGCTTTTCATATATTACAGTTTTCATACAGAAGGGACAAATAAAAGTTGTCAAAAACAAAGGAATCTTAAAAACATGGTTTTATAAAAAATAAGTTGGCAAATTGAGACTGAAGAGGTTGTCGGAGAGAGTAATAGGGGAATCTAGCTAGCAGTAAAGTTGTTATCATAGCTTATATGAATTGAAAGAGAAACTATTGAAAATGGAATGTAATTCTATTGGTTTCTATCCAGAGTAAGGCTAGCTGGTGAAATCTAAAATGAAGTGAACAGTTGATCCTAATAAGGATTTATGGGATGTAGAATGAGACTTGGAGAAGATTAAGTGTTTGAAGGTACAATCCAAAATAAAAAAGAACACTGAAGAGCACCATAGGAAAGTTTTTTTCAAAAGCCACAAATTAGATACAAGAAGAGAAAATCAAAGGTTTGCTTCTCTGAAGATCATTAGCCAAAGTGAGATCATCTGTCAGGTCTTCAGACTATGAAGGATGGTATTTTGCCCATTCATTTGGTAAGCCCTTTCCTTAAACACATATGGAAAAATAGGATTAGTCCTAATATCTAATTATATAAAGGACTGCTTATATGTTAGGAACACAATATGTTATTTATTTATTTATTTATTTATTTATTTATTTATTTATTTATTTATTTATTTATTATTATTGCGATTTATATGTCGCCTTTCTCCCGAGGGACTCAAGGCGGCTTACAAAATGACAATTTCCAATACAAATCACAATAAAATAAAATTAAAATCAACACCCCAATTAAAACAGTTTAAAATTATAACAGTGTACATCCAAACGGATCAGTTGAGTTGACGGAAGAGCCACGTCTTCAGCTCGCGACGGAAGGAAAGGAGGTCGGGGGCTGTCCTGAGCTCGGTGGGCAATCCATTCCAGAGGGTCGGGGCTCCCACAGAGAACGCTCTCCTCTTATGATTGTATAATGAAAGGTATGGCACAAACTGATTTGCCATCTTGTGCTTACTTGAAAAGGGGGCAAACTGCCACCACAACAAATGTAAATGTAAGCAGTTCAGAAGCTGGAAACGTGAAAGTGCTTGTCTGCTCCAACAAGGCATGGCTGATTCTAAAATTGTTTCGTACTGTTTCTGTAAGTTCCATGAAAAAGGAAAAAAAACTGGAACCTGTGTGATCCTGCCTGTTTCAGTCAGATACTGGAACATATCCTATCACAGCTACCTGAATATAATTCCATATGAGGAGCCATGGTGGCACAATGTTTAGAATGCAGTATTGCAGGCTGACTCTGCCTACTGCCAGGAGTTTGATCCTAACTGGCTCAAAGTTGACTCAGCCTTCCATCCTTCCGAGGTCAGTAAAATGAGGTCCCAGGTTGTTAGGGGCAATATGCTGATGTTGTAAACTGCTCAGAGAGTGCTGTAAAGCATTGTTGAGCGGTATATAAGTCTAAATGCTATTGCTATCCATTCTTTTATTAATAAGGTGAGTTCTGTACTAGATAGCTAAATGTCTTCTGAGCTTTTGGGAAAATAGTCAGCTTGATGAAATAATTCAAGGGAGTCTACCAGTACTTATCTCAGTTATCTGGAAAGAGATCAGGCATCATACCGTTTCACAAGAAAGCTGTTAGGAAAAGGCTCTGCCTTAACAAGCTGAAAATTAAATTGGATTCTAAAATAAAGCAATCCAGTTACTGATATTCTGGCAATCTTATCTTACCAAATATAAATTTAACTCCTTGAACTGATTCTGTTAAAGAAGAACAAGAACAATATTAAAGAGGACTCTTTTCCTCTATGTCTTCTGTCAAAAGCCTGGCAAGTATTATGGCAGGAACAATCAAGATTTATTGGCTATATTAATTTTGGAATAAAATGCTTAGGAACAACATGTTGGAGCTCAAGTTCTGTTTTCATCAGGCATTTCTGATCTATTAATAGAGCTTTACAGCAGCTACTCCAAACTGATACTATCCAATATTGTTTAGCTAATAAAATCTATGCAGAGCAAACTACTTTAGCTGAAATTCATGCACAAAGGACTGTCCCTATGGCTCTCTTTTCTAGATATTACTGGAACAGTTTAAGATTGGATTACATCAAAAGTGCTATCAGCAAAGTATGAATCAGAACTGTAGAGGAGCTTGTAGGTAAAACCTGCAGATAAGAAACTGAACAAAGAATTGTGTTTTATATGAGAGTGAATCAAGAAATTAGAGCATCTAAATGATTGGAACAGCACACTTTTGAAAGGAAGGACATTCCAGAGTGCTTACTTGTTTTTCCATAAACTTAGCAATGCATTTAAATTTTAATCCAGTGACTTCAAACAGACAAGCAGTCTGTTATGGAGGCATCTTAATGATCTAATATTAGTCTGGAAGTTTATGTTGTTGTTGCTAAGAGAACACTGTAGCTTTGGGAACACTGAGTTAGATAAATGTACTATTGTGACAGCTGCCACTAAATGCCAAAATCCCATACTAAAATATCTGGAAATATCTGTCATTTTTCATTTTAAGCTTCTATTTAAAAACTTTTTTAAAAAAATCTAATGATCTGTCTTTCTCAGAACCTATTTTAAATCTGCAAATTGTTCCTTGCTTAAGTGTCATACACTTTTAGCTAATTTGATTATTCAACAAAGCCTAAGCAACAAGATCCTAAAGGAAATCAACCCTGATTGTCCTGTGGAAAGACAGATCCTGAAGCTCAAATACTTTGGCCACCAAATGAAAAGAGAGGACTGATTGGAAAAGATCCCGATGTTGGGAAAGATTGAAGGCAAACGGAGAAGGAGACAGCAGAAGATAAAATGGAGTCATCAATGCAGTGGCCATGAGTTTAGGTAGACTCAGGGAGACAGGGCAGGAAAAGGGGGTGGGGGTGGCTGGCGTGTTATGGTTCATGGGGTTGTGAAGAATCAGATATGACTTAGCGACTGAACAACAACAAAATCAACAAGAAAAAAATAATTGGAAATTCCAAATTCAAATGTAATTCTCATTTTCTACCATGATCCACAAAAAAATATCCACAGCTAATCACTAGTTAATAGAAACTTTATATTTTGAAGCATTCCCTTTTAAAGAAATGATAATTACAAAACCTTTAAGAAGAACTAATCATTCCAGAAATCTTAGATCAGATAGCACTGCAATTTATTTACTTAAGGAACAGAACAAGAATAAATATGTAAAATTATGTGCAGATACTTACAGTAAAATGTAAGTGGAATCAAAAAATGTATTGTGAGTAATTCTAGGATTCATTTATACAAATAAAAATTCTTTAACAAGAATTAATAAATAAAATGTAAAATATTTTTACACAGTTTCAACTTTCTGTACAGAATATTCATAACTCATACATCCATGGAAAATTTACCAAATCAAAATAGAAGCTGGGATCCATTTACTTCACATTTCCTGAATGACCACACTAGTACTAGGAAACATTTCATAAGATAGCGAAGAATAAACCCTTTCATATAATGTCATTATATGAATAACATGAATTTTAGTGAAAGTAATTTTTATATTCAAAAGTATATATACCATGGCTCAGAGCACAACTTGAATTGTACTAAATTATATGATCATGTTCTAACAAAAAGCAAAACAAATTGATATGATTGCTAAAATAAGGCAAAAAAAAAATTGGAAAGCTTAATATGGTTTTACCTACCAGTGGATCTGTGTCATGCAGTAAATGCAGCTCATAACTCTATAAAAGGCTCACTAACCTTCTTCGATCCCTGGCATCACCAGTAGATGACTCTGTTCCAGTCAGTGAGTTAGAATTAGTAGTTGTGACACCGTTGGAACTTCCAGGTACAGTGAGATTTGTTATGACACTTAATGGAATGCTAGAAGAGACAGCCTCTGTGCTCTTCTCTGTGGTAGAGTCACTTTGTTGTCGGTAAGGGGCTCTGAAACATACAAAATGAACTCGTAAATAATTGTAAAATGCCTTAGGAGAACGAAGAGAAACAAAATGAATTTCACCTTTAATAGAACAGTCATCAGAACATTTTTATACAGTAATAGTGATTTCTTTTTAGTGCATAAATAATGACAATGAATATGATTAAAAATGTTAGAATAGGAATGAAGAAAGATAATTCCCCAAACATTGCCCTCTATCAGGTTCAGCTAGCAAAGCAATTGAGCACAAATGACAGAAGAGTTAACAACTGGAGAACTGTAATTAAAAAATCCAAGAAAAATCTTAATACAAATCAGTCAGAATAATATAGCTGGGTGGTAAAGAATTGCCTTGGGGTGTGTTGGAATACCAATGTCTATAACTCTTTACAGCAGGTGCTTCTTTCCCTGGATCATACAATTAAGTGTATGATCTAAATGAACCAATTGTCAAATTTATTATTGTGTATTTTTCTTGCATTGTGTTTTTGTGGATTTATTCCAATGGAAAGATGCAGGTGAATTGTTTAGCTAACTACTAAATACATATTGAATGTGCAAGAATAGAAATAGAAAATGCCTAATGATCAACATATTCAATTAAATTAGGACATGAATCACAACAATAAGAAATTGCTTTTAGATTACTCATAGGATCAGGATGGGGGGGAAAGATAATGTTGAAAGATCCATGCCAACGTGAGCAATAGATCTCACAGTATTGTATGCAGACTGAAGCATACAGTAGAATAAATCAAATGTAGTCCATTTCCTAAATCAGTGTTTCCCAAACTTGACCCTTTGAAGATGTATGGACTTCAACTCCCAGAATTCCTCAACCAGGCATACTGGTTGGGGAATTCTGGGCATTGAAGTCCATGCATCTTAAAATAGCCAAGTTTGGGAAACACTGTCCTAAATAAACAGATTATATTTACCAGAAACAATATGAAGCAGACAGTCAATAATGCAAGAGTTTAGATTGCAGCTAGCAAGCTATCTATGATCAGGTAAATTCTGTATTATCAAAAATGCTGTGATTGTAAGCAGGCTAATTAAAAATTAAGATTGCTATTTTTTGTTGACCTAATAGGCAACAATGAATAAATAAATATCAAATATTTTAAACTCAATATTCTACTTAAATTAAGAGAGTTGGTTTAGCAAAATAAAATGCCATTATGAAAAAAAAAACCTGAAGCCTCTGTTAAGTTTGATTACAATCCAGCTCTACATTTCTTTGGATTCCTACTATGTTGTTTCCTTAGGATATTCAAGAATTAACAATATGATTTATCCTATACCTGATAATTCGGGCAAACTAAGGATTCTATGGATTATAAAATGCAAGGACACAAACGCTCCAACAAATTCTGGGATCAGATTAGAAGAAATACAATCACTTGGATAACGAGATGAGTGACATATAAATGTAATAAATAAATAAATATTTATTTTCACAAGTGTGTAATAGGCCTAACTCAGGGGTCAGGAACCTGTGGCTCTGGAGCCGAATGTGCCTTTTTCATCCCTCTGCGGTGGCTTCCTATTGCTGGTTGGCTCCACAAATGATAGGGCTTTTGGTTAGGACAGGCAAAGGAAAAAGGATGCCATGCTAGGAGGAGACTCTATGGTGGGGGAAGTGGACTTCCGGTCAGCAGAGGAAAAAGGAGGCTACACTAGGAGGAATCTCTATGGTGGGGAAACTGGACTTCTGATCAACTCCAGAATTGAACGGGGGCTTCTGATTAGGACCTTTGTGGCTCTTTGAGTGTTTAAGGTTGCCGGCCCCTGGCCTAACTAATTACAGCATAAACAAACAAGTCATTAAAATATTTAAAGTTATGTTTACAATACTGAAATGTTTTAAAATGAAAACAATCTATATTGCAGGTAGGAGACTATACCTATTATCATGGGAATTTATTTCTAATTGAGCAGTGGGTCTATCTTCTATGGTCTTCGCATGCCTTCACCAACTGTGCTATCCCAATGCTTACTTGAGTACTCGCTATCTTTTTAAAGACAGTTTGTGAAAGGGAGGAATAATCCCTTCTGTCATTGGGCTACTGGGCTGACATTACTTGAGCACAATTCATTGTAAGGATAATTTACATGGAGATGATTCAAAAAGAAATAGAGTTTCCTTTTCAGAACATAACCTGGGATTAATACAACTTTTAGTTACATATCTAATGTAACTAAACCCTATTCGTGATATCTATGCCACATTCTCAGCACCTCAGCTACTGCTGCCTAAATGTTATGGTTTCCAAGCCTACTTTTAAAGTCATCTAGGCTAAAAAAAAATAGCCAAGCCTTTTCCAGATTTATGCAAAAAATCCTGGATAACTCCACCAATTATCCACATGTTTGAACTACACATCCTGACCTCTCAAACATTGCTTGTCCCCAGACTGCAATAATGTTGAGATAATATCATATCATATACATATATTTCTACTGATGAATTATAGCTACAGCAGTATATATGTATTATATTGCTTGCTTATAGGTTTAATATGATCTTACTGCTTTTATTGATCAGCATATTCTTTCAAATAACCTCTTTATGTAATAATGTCTGCATATTTGCTTTCCAGGTTTTAATTATTTCAAAGCAAATGACAAAAGTGTATCATACTAATTTGCATAGCACACAACAAACAAAATGTTCAGTATTTCCACAATGATACCCTCAACCTCCACTATAGTTTTAAATTAAAATAATACTTTCTTCTATTCCTTATAATTCACAAGATACATTTTATATGGATAAAATTTTCACGTAGAAAAAAAATTAAAATGTTGATAAATCATTGTTCTAATTATACAAACAAGAGGCAAGTAAGATGGGCTACGTCATTAATCTTGGTTTTCCTCTTTTCTGGTTTTATGGCAGTCAGAATTTTGCTAAACTGTTTAAAATTAATGCAACCATGTACGCTTTTCCACCAAAAGTTTTAAATACACCTTACCTTTTCATATAGGTAGATATGTAGGTGGAAGGTGCACCAGTTGTAGGGGTTTCATTCCCTTTTGGTTCCTCCCTCCATTGTTGGCGAGAGTAAGGACCACTCCGTACCAAGTTAACAGCCGATTCTCTAAAATGGCAAATTGGGAAAGAGAGGGGCGGTAATTACACTTTTGTGTATTATATTTTTCAGTTCTGACAATCTACAATAAGACACAAAGACTATGTTATGGTGACATTCTGTTTTGCGTGGCTTAGCCACAAGCACTACCAAAATCACCATCCTGTGGTTCATTTTTAAATTGTTAAGTTAACTGAATGGTGTGCTGAATTGTTCTGTTCAGCAGTTCTGCTAAACTGCATTCAGTTGGCATAATAAATTAAAAACAAATAATATTTATTTTGATATTAAAAGCAACCTTTTAATATCAAAACAAGCAGAATTTTCTGGAACTGAGTATGTCACTCAAATGCACCTATGGCATTGAGACATATGCAGGTAGTCTATAACAGCAGTATTTCAACTGTAATCACATTCTGATCTATTTACCAAACCCAAGCAAAATGCATGCTTGCCAAGATCAACCTAATGCTGGAGAAAAAAAATACTGGAAAATAAAAACCAACTGTTAAGAACACAGCATTTTATATAAATATCTTCTATGTACCTGAACTGTCACTAAATATTTCAGAGACAGATAATATACTCTGATAAGAATTAAAGTATGAAGAAGAATCAATTTTGAAGAACAGTTCTAATAGATAACTTGTAAAATATATAGTTTGAGTAAAGTGTAAAATGTGTATGAATGTGTCCTGTTCTCTGAGGTTATTTTTCTATTTTGCAGTAATTGAAATATGTCATTCTAAAATGTAGGGCTAATTGGGCAAACCATGCGAACGTACTATATACAAAATAAAAAACATATATATTCAATTCTCTCATCATTTTTAAGGTGGTGATGTAAAAGAACTACAGCCTTGGTGCAGGTCCTGAGGAGTCTTGCTCTGTTATCTGTGAATGGTTTGAACCTGTTGGGTCAGAGGAAATGGACAAGGTCCTTATGACTATGAGCTTGGCCATTTGTTCATTCATTCCATTCCCCCACCCCAGCTAAGTCCACCTAGGAGGTGACACGTGATTGGGTTCTAGCGCTCATGAATTCTTCTTTGAGGGAGAGGGATGTCTCTGCACCTTATAAGGAGGCGTCACATTTGTCAGATTGACAATTATATAAATTTGATAAATAAATAAGCAAGGAAGTCATAACTAATATATGTTACTGTATCAGAACAGTATTTTAGTTATAGTTATATAACTTTAGTTATAGCTTAATGATAAAATGACTTGGTTGGTCTCCAAATGCTAAGCAGTCTTAGAACTGGTTGGTATTTGGGTGGAAGAAGTCTATGAAATAACAGGCCTATTGGCTAGAATAGGAAATTGAAAAAAAAAAACCTCATTGGCAAGAAAATTATATGGACTTGTTGGTAGATTTGTATGGGTTTATATTTTATTGCAAAATATAACCAAGATGTAGGAGAAATAAGGAAAGTGAGGGGGAAGGGAGAAAAACTGTCCCACAGATTCAGTTCATACTGTAAACATTTACTCCTATAAATCTGGGGCCATTACTGAAAGGGTCTTACCGGTTTTCCTTTTCTTCAATGTCACCTGTATTATTTAATCTTCGAGGGGATATTGAAGCAAAATAGATTTTATTATCCTTGTCCTGCAGAAATAAGAACAAATTCCTAAATTACAGCAATTTTTTGGACATGAATTTTTTGAAATGTTTTACTTTTTTATTGTTCAATACATAATATAGCATGAAGGAATGTGCATAATTTTTTTTAAATCACAGGAGCTGAATATTTTATATATTTTATTTAAAATAAATATATAACTCCCCCAGAATATTTTGTAATTGTGCACTTTTGTACAATTGTACAAAAAGTTTGTACAATTTTTCTGTCTACATTTCAGGATATGAAGCTAGTTTCAAATCCATAATTTACTTATTTATTATATATATTGATGAAACCAGCAGCTTCATGAAGATATTTAAATAAGATGGGGAGAGACCAGCAGCCTGGACCATCGAACACTGGAATATCTAAAGGCTCAGCTCCTTCCCCAATAATATTGGGAGGGATATAGAGAGGTTCTTCATCTCTCTCCAAATCCCACCACAGGCCATTTACAAAAGTGTTCAATAGCCAGACCTTAATAGATGGTATAACTCATCCAGAATCCATTTACTTGGAGACCAAGTATCAACTACAAGAATTATCTAGGACAGGGGTGTCAAACTGGCGGGCCGGATGCATCATACGCAGGCCATGCCCACCCCAGCTCCACGAATGGGAAAAGTGTTGGGAAACGTTACGTGATGGCAATGTGACGCAGTGAATTTGACACCCATGTTCTAGGACATTTCAATCCAGGAATGACTTTTTCAAATCATTGCCTTTTCCAAGACCAATAGCATTAGAGTTGAATCAATCCACAGAGGAACTACAATTAGAAGTAAACGCTGAATAGCACTGACCATGGTCAAGATCAGCATCAATATCATCTGTGTTCATAACTTAAAGTGAAGAAAAAGTGTTAGCTTTTGAAAGAGAAAAGATAGATAACAATCTATCATAGCCTCCATTCCTCAAATGGAGTTAAGTCAATCTCTGTATGACAGAAAAAGCAAATCCTAATTCTAGTTAACAAGTAAAGTACTACACCAAAAACAAAACAAAACTAGATTAGATTAGATTATTCAGCATTATTTTAGTTTTCAGAACATGGATTTCAAAGACAGTGAAGTCAAATTATTGTGTACCTTCTCTTGGTTATCTAATAGTGCAGATATCCGAGGGGTTGAAGAAGAGTAATAGATGGAGCTGCCTTTCTCTTTGAGAGTGTCACTGGGCATGCTGTCCTCACTAAGTGCATTTTGGCTGCTAGTTTTCCGCAAGCTTAGCCTCCATGATGATGGTGATTCATCTTTTTGTTCTTCAGGCTTGTTAAGCAATGAACTACACTATAAAAGGTGGTAGAGACACAGTGGCTTGAGGACATAATTGGAAAAGCCTCAATTACCTCATTCCAACATCATGACAGTGTCAACAAGAGAACAATGACTCAGAGAGGTAGCAGTTCCTTTCACTGTATACCTTTAAGCAGACTTTAGCCAGCCATGTTTCACATTAAACAGCAGCTTAGATTCAATGGCCCTTTTCAGCCCTAAGAGTTTGTCTCCTCTTGTACAACTAAAATGATCCCTTTTTACCTCACAGATGCTTTAAATTTACTGCAAAGGGGAGCTCCAGAGTGCATGTTGGCTTGAGAAAGACATATATGTTCTATAAGATAAGCCATTCTACTGAATGACAAAACAATTGCATATTAAATGCCAAGACAATGATATCAAAATATCATATTTTCTAATTAAATTTATATAAAACATCATACAAATATGTGCACACCCACACCAACTCTAAAATGTCAATTTGTCCATGTTAGTGCTTTTTATAATCATTAATCAATCTCGTTTAAACATAGTACGGTGATTTTTTTTTTTAAGAAGTGAGAGGCTGACTCATTCAAAACAAGTTATAATATACATAGCAGAGGCAGTATAAACAATAGTCAGGTTCCAATAGACAGTTTAATCTAAGCTAAAAGTTCAACCCCTATCAAGCATTTCAACATCACCGAAATAAATCAGAAGTACTAAATTAATTTATACTGTAATCCAATTAGTGTTTAAATAGCCACCTGCCAATTGGAATGCTTAAATTAATTTATCTAATAGTTTTTAGATGTTACATGGTAGGCCATATTTTAAATCTGAGCTGATTCCAAATCCTATGTGATATATTAGTAGTAGTGTTGTGACTATTTTAAGTGTATTGACTATCCAACTCCAATTGATACTAGTAGATTGCTGAATTTGCATGCCTAAGTCAATCGCTAAATAGAAGTCCGCATGTGAAAAAGAAACAGAATATTCCTGGTTTCTCCAAGACTAGAATCAAGAGTACAAATCAAAAAAAGATGTAGATTCTGACCATAATCGGTAAGAAAGTTAATTAAAATATTTGGAAAGAAATATCATCATTCAAAGTTAAAATAAAACATAGTGCATAGTAGACATTGAAGGCAGGTGAAGGACATAAGGAAATACAGGTAGTCCTCGACTTACAACAGTTCCTTTAGCGAACTGAAAAATGTGACTTATGACCGTTTTTCAGCTGCAACCTTTGCAGCATCACCACGATCATGTGATCAAAATTCGGACGCTTGACAAATGATTCATATTTATGACCATAGCTGTGTCCCAAGGTCACGTGATCCCTTTTTGCGACTTTCTGACCAGCAAAGTCAATGGGGAAGTCAGATTCACTTAACAACTGGGTTACTAACTGATCAACTACAGTGATTCACTTCACAATTGTGGCAAGAAAGGCATAAAATGGGACAAAATTCACTTAACAAATGTCTCACTTAACAACAGAAACTTTGGGCTCAATTGTGGTCATAAGTAAGGACTACCTCTATCTTCATTCTGACATACTAAAGACTAGTAAAATGCTTTTGAAGGAATTAAGTGAATTCTCAACTTTCATTTTTGCTCTTGTTTCTTCGGGCCACTCCACACGCAACATTTAAACCCTCCCATAATATGCTTGCAAGGCTACATGCTCTTATTAATATTGGCCAGCAGAAGTGATTAACTGCAGCTCTGTTGCAGTGCATAGGAAACTACTGCAAAAAAAATATGCAACCCTATCAACATTGTTGCTTTGCAGTAGGCCATTTCCATTAGCACGTATTTCCATTTCAGTCTGCCTCTTAGTCTTTGAATGTCCTCTCTTATTGTAATTGTTAACTCAAGACTTGTGCCTAAAATTATAAGCCACTGGTTAAACCAACATAGCATCTTGAAAGTGTCTGAAATTGTTTTGTTAGTAAATAATTAATTGGTCAGTTCCTTAAACAGAAGGGAGGAACTAAGAGAACTTTGAAAGAAAGAAAGAAAATAAAAGCATATAGTTGACAATTGGACAGAGAAAAACAGGATAATAAAGTAACTAGTTTATCTTAAATGTAAGGGGAGGAAAAAGTCTGCTAAGACCTTGAGACAAGCTATACATGCATTCTGTAATAATGGAACATTTTGTATGTTCATGGAACGTTATTTGTTCATGACCAGTGTTCATGATCACTGGGTAAAATACAAGGTTGAATGTAATACCTGCTGCCAAATGTCTAACATACTCTGCTATCACATAAAAAATAAGAAGAGATGGCAATATCAATAGAAAATCAAATTTCAATCTCAGAATGTTTGTCTTTTGATTATCAGTGATATTTTAGAGAATACTTAACTAACTTGAAATAAACTTGCAACAAATCATGCCACCTCTGTATAAATAAATCCTGATTTTGTTCCATTCAGCATCCCAAATTCACAGAGCAGCAGCATTGCAGCTTTCACTACTGTGAACAGCTTTTTAAAAAAGAAAGGGAAAAAATCCTGATCCCTGTTACACAAATGAAGCATCACATAAGGGAAAACCTGAAGGCAGAGGACTTGTGGGATGTTGATTTTTCCATTCTCCTATTGATCAGATGGAGAGAGCATCAACTAGCAGATGCAAAATTATCAGCAACTGCAGAGAATACAGTCATAGGATATTTTGAAAATGATCCCTGTAACCAAAATTATCTCCTTGTTTAGCTACAATTGGCTATTTATTTATTTATTTATTAATTACTAATTAATATGGAGGAGTGAGATGTTTTAATTACTCGGTTTTTCATCGCAATCAACCTTTTCATTTTTCAGATGGATTCCTACTCATTTGCAGCTTCCAAGCTTCTATATGTTTGACTCACAGAGGTGTCATCTCCTGTTTATGGCAGTTGAATGTATTTTTGAAATATCTAAAGAGCAAATGATAGTTGCTCCTACATGTTTTAAGGCGGTCCACTGCAAAGTTATGCAAATTTTTCACTGTATTCCAGGTATTATCTCTGCATAGATTCCAAAGAGCAATAACATTAAATACAGCCCCTCTTTCTTCATCTAATAGTTAATAATTTCCCAAGATGGAGGAACATTTTTAACTAAAACTTACATTCAAACAAATGGATCAATACCTTACATTCAAACTAATTTATCCTATTTAATGAAATGTACTTATAAGCGGCAAATTTTTCATGCATACTGGTACACATTACACATATAATATTACTGTTTATACCACTGACCATCTAAGCTCCTGATAGTTTATAACAAAAACAACATCATAATGAATAGGTAAATATTAAAAATATTTCACTAATGGTTTAAATTAATGTCAGGGGAGGTCAATTCTCCCAATCTGACTAGGCATGTACTACACTCAATAGAAACTTAATTATGATGAAAATACCTTAGATAACAAGTACATTTATTACTGACTGGAAGTGCTTTATGGACTTTTTGCTGAAAGTGGGAAAAAATGAATTGGTGATTTATGGATCTCATGATTAGAAAGAGTAAAATGTGAAAGAATGGAATCATGATGTAACTTTAGAACAGGAGGATAGATGATAAAAGTATTTTTAACTGTTGTGAAAAGAGATTAGGAGCTGCTTCTTTATTTTTTTTCTTTTCTTTTCTTCTTTTCATTATTTATCATTTTTGTATTGTTTTTACTATTGCATAAAATTCTTCAATGGAAATGATGAAGATAGCCATATTTATACTAAGAAAAAAAAACATGTTTTTGACCTAGGGAGTTTGATTTTTTTCAGAGTCAACATATGAACAAATACTGAATTTAGCATCATTAATGACATGAACCCATTTAAGACCACTTTTTTGGGGGGGGGAACCAAAAACACCTGCAGTCTGATATTTCTGTATAAAATTAAATGTATACAAAATAAGCATAATATTTATTACATTTTTTTCTGGTATTATGTTGCTGATTAAACTGCAGAAGAATAGGAAACAACTGTTTTGGTTCCAAACTAAACAAATAACATCAAATATGTCGATCAACTCAAAGTCAGTTCTTGATGGTTTTTAACTATGCTTTTTCAAAATAGAACATAGATTCATTCTTCCAATGTTTATACAAAGTAAGTTCTATTTAATAAAAGAATTTAAGAAGTCATTCTTCATAGGATAAAACTTTAAATGTAACCTCTAACCCCTTACCTTAAGTCCCTGTCTACTTACTTTTCGAGCAGGAGCCATAGTAAAAGTGTTATGTTCTGGGGGTGGTATTTGTTCTGAGATGAGAATTCTGGATTCATGTTTGGAATGGTTTGCAATAGACTCTTCTTTGCTCTCTAAGAAGATGGGAGGCAGAGGATGAAAGATCTGCAGACATTCTACAATAATTCTAGATTTAACTGAGCAATGTGTTCTGGGCATTCTAGCCCCATTCTTTTGAAATGCTGCAGTTAAACATATATGCCCATTTGAGTTACTGTATGTTAATCAGTATATATTTAATAAGCCACTGTCCTATAGTCTGAACAAAACTGTGGACCAGTAATTTTCTAACATGCCTACTGATTTCCCACACATTATTTTAGAAAGGCCATTTTTTTGTGGGCCCTGTACTTTGTTCCAGTCTATTTTAGACTGAACTCTATCTTTAAAAGAGATTTTTCATTAGGCCTTTAGGAAGAGCTAAACATCAAATACTAAGGAAGTATTAACGTCAAATTTTTGTACATTTTATAAGATGGCAATAAATGATAAGAACATTGTCAGGCACAAATTTCTGGGAATGCAGAAGGCTTCAGATCATCCTGTGATAAGAAGTGAAGGCAAAACCGCCTAAATCTGAATATCAGAGTCGAGTATACATGCATCCTCCTGCCTACCTACCTCACAACCCACCCACCCCCCTAACTGCACATCGCACAAAATATATTAAGCCCTTCATACTAAAAATACTGTTTCAGAAGATGCATATGAAATGTGAATGCCCAGTATGAAGCTGCAAGAAATTCTGGCATGCATGCATTCATACTGTTGTATATCTAAAAGCTGGTATCAACAATAAATATTGGCCAGCCAGATACTACTTGAAGCAAGGATAAAAAAGGGACCACAAGAATTAAGTGAAACTTACATTTCTTTAATTAAAATAATAATTCCTTGACCATTTTATCTACTTCTGTAGAAGCAAATAATTTTCCAAGGTGACAAATAGCACCAACATTTCCCAAGTTTAGGCATGTGCAAATTAGGAGTTCAGAGATGGAACTGATAAATTATGTATATCCATACCATAGGTTTTTGCAATTAATTCTGTATTCTGAGTAATTACTTGTTTTGATGCTACAATTACTAGTACAAAATTCTACCGTAATATAATGCTGCACTGCAGCAATATATCTTGTGCAGTCCTCCAATTTTTAATCTAGAAAAATATGTAGTTAGAAGTTTCCTAAATTTATGTAGCACCACCATGTGCATTCAAAAGCTGCTAATGTATCTAAGAAAAGCGAAGGAAGCTGAGTAATTTTTCAGAAAACAAACTCACTGCTATAAGCAGTCATTTACTATGTGAAAAAGTATGTTTAATTGTGACTGTTCAGTAGATTTTCGCATTACTTGCTATCTGCCTAGCAAAGGAGAAGGGGCTAGGGATGCAATGAATCATTGTCATCAATGTTCTCCTGATCAATGAATTATGAAATGCCAGGTACTTCCTGAAGAAAGTGGGTGGGGGACTTTGAAGGGATGTGTAAAATCATTCCAAATATGAACCTCCATGAAATTGCTGTTTCAGGCATTTATATTTAAGAAAACTGAGACCACTTCCAAAGCAGACTCTTTCATACTTGGAATAGCTTTTTCCACATTCAAACTGCAAAATTTTGTAAAGTTTCACAATCATTTGTATTCCATAGATGCTGATTCTTGACCTGTTCATGTGAAATGGCTGAAAATATTTGTAGCTTGGGTAGTAGATGCTGGTGGTGGTTTCTTTTCCGAGCTTGCTGTTTAGCTTCCGAACGTTTCATCACCAGGCTAGGTGACACCCTCAGAGGGGCTTCGGTTGAAGCGTCTTATTTCAGTTCTTCTCTGATTTTATTGATCTCATGTGGTCATGTGGTCAGTGGATCATGAGTCTGGATGGTCATGCCATATGACTGGTTGGTCATTATGTGTGAAGGTCACCAGGTGAAGAGGTAGTCAGTGTCGTTGTTGGTTAGTCACTCAATTGCTACTGTTCCTTATGGGTTCATAGGCTGGCTCCAAGTTGACATGTTTGTTGATAGATTTGTTAGTTGAATACCAGGCTTAGATGAATTTGTGTTTGTGGTGTGTGGTGGACAGAACAAAAATCATGGGCCATGCACGCAAATTTATTGAAGCCTGGTATTCAACCAATGGATCTATCAACAAACATGTTGACTATGAACCCATACGGAGCCGTAGCAATCAAGCAACCAACCAGCTCACATGACCCACCAACCACATGACCACATGAGATCAATAAAAGCAGAGAAGAACTGAAACAAAATGCTTCAACCAAAGCCCCACTGAGGATGTCATCTAGCCTGGTGACGAAACGTTTGGAAGCTGAACAGCAAGCTCGGAAAAGAAACCACCACCAGCACCTGATAATGTGATTGTATTGAGGCAGAATTGCTAGTAAACAGAGTAGACTAGATTACTAAGTGAACTAAGTGTAACTAGGTTACTGTCATAAGAAAAAATTCTCAAAGGGTTTAAATTTACTTAATGGCAATGGAATGCCATTGGTGGGCACAGAAAAGTAGAGATAGAAACCTGGGAGATGAGATGGATTAAGCTGTCTGGAATTTTAAAAACAGGGATTTCACATTGCAAGATATTGTTACCAATCTTAACTAGCAACACTCTGTATTTGAACTGACTATCTAAAGCTATAGGCTTACATAAAAGTTCTGAAAATGACTTCATCAGTGCAGCTTCATAGAATTCTCTTGCTCAAAAGAAAGGGAAAAGAATATCTGTTTTAAATATATTACTTTACTTATTTATTTAAATAAATATATTACCTGCCTCCTTTTCAGTATCTGATTCTGAAACTTCATCTTCTTCAGCTTCTTCCTCTTCCTCAGAGCTGGAACTACTAGATTCCTTGTTCTCTTCTTCGGTCTCTAACGATTTTAAAGTATCTGCTTCATAAATAATCTTCTCTTTGCTGAGATAAAAACCAAGAAAAGTATTTAGAACAACAACAAAAAAATCAAAAACTAAATGGGTTAAGAAATTGAAAATGTAAGATTGCCACAAGTTAAATCATTTCTGGAAAAAAGTAGAGTGATAGACTAATTCCTCTTATTAAAATTCATGGCCCTCATTTCAGTATCACAAGTTTATAGCTTTTATGAATATAATGGGACAGGAAGAGAAAGTTACTTGAAGGGAAAATTGGTTTTTAAAAAGAAGTTGGCCAGTTTCTTCAGAATCACATCAGCAGAGTACTGAAATTCAATAGCACAGACTATGAGTAGTTCTAGGCCTGGAGACAGAATATTTTTTGATAAAACAGCTTTAAAAATTAAGCATAACTTCAAACAAAAAAAATCCTGTTTAACCACTTGAACTTTAGAAGCTCAAATTAAATTATATTGATTTATAGCATTTATATTCTACTATTTTTCAAGGAAGTCAAAGCATCACATATGGGGATTCCCTCTTAGTTTATTTCTCTTAAGAACTACTTGGTATAGTAGGCTGAGGTAAGAAATAATAAATGACCCAAACCCACTTAGTGAGATCCACATCTGGATGGTGAACTGAATCAAGTTTCTTGGATTCTAGTCTTATGCTTCAACCTCTAATGCTCGCTTCTTCCACCCCATTAATTTAACATCAAATTTCACAATAAACACAAAAACATCTTGGACAGAGAATCTTACTTTTTGAAAAGTCCACTTTGAACTTTACCATTCATATCTGCTTCAATTAATTTGTTTGATTCTTCACTACGCAGCTGTCAAAAATGTAATTGGAAAAATATATTAGTAAACTGTTACTGTTCTTATTGTCTAGCATGTCAGTATAGGCAAATGGCAGAATTGCAACTCTTTTAAGCATTTACTTCCTTTTTGTTTAAGGTAGTGAGAATTTATTATGAGAAATATATAAAACTGAGATACATATATGAAACAACCATACTGACTAAGTCACTCACTCACTAAGTTTTTCACACCAAAAACATCAAGGCAGTTTTAGTCCAACCCCAGTACCTCATAATAATCTGCTTTTGAAATATGAAACCAAGGAATCAATATTCTCCAAAGCATCTGAAGGTACAATATTCTTCAAAGCATCAAGATAGGACAAGAAGCAATGAATGAAAACTAATCAAGGAGAGAACCAATTTAAGAATATTTTCTGACAGTTAGAACAATTATTCAGTGGAACAATCTGCCTCCAGAAGTTGTGACTGATTTTTAAAGAACAGATTGGACAACCATTGGTCTAAAGCTGTATAAGTTTCCTGCCTGAGTAAGATTCCTCCCCCCCCCCCCTTATATTCCAATCTTTCCTTCCCCCCTCCCCCCCCCCCCCCCCCCGGCTAATGTCAGGCTATCAGCTCATGAAGTTTGGATAGGTGATCCATGACAATTGCAATGTAGTTGGAAAGTGAGCAGTGCATATCTATAGTTCTTTCTCTTTCTCTCTCTCTCTCTCTTTCTCTCTCACATACACATCCTTGGGAGGCAGGCCATTTTAAATTAACATTCATCTTCTTTTACAGCAGCCATGAAAAGATATTCAAATACTGTGATGGGTCTATTCCCTATGACTCTCTATGGAAATGAAAAGTGAACTTCAAAGAGGCGGGATAGGAAAAGTACTGAGGCTTTTAAGTTTGGTGTCAGAGAAGACTCCTGAGAATACTGTGGACAGCCAAGGAAACAAACAAATGAGTCATTGAACAAATCAAGTCAGAATTATCACTTGAGTGAGTACCAATGATCAGGCTCAGATTACCCTACTTGTAACATATTATGTGGAGAGCTAGCTCCCCACAGAAGGCTCTAATGCTAGGAGAGGTGGAAGGAATGAAAAGAGGATGACTAGCAGCAAAGTGAGGGACACTTTGGTTACAGTGGTGATGAGTGCACTATTGGAAGATCTGAAGGTTAGGGACAGATTGCACTGGAAAATATCTACCTCTGTGGTCACTAAGAAAAATGACTTGTTGGCCATATAACGTCAAAAAAGCAATTTTACTTATGTTATTTTTACATTTTTAAACCACTTCAATCAACACATGTTTTCATATGTAACTATCACAAAACACAGACTTCATTACATTCCACTACCTTAAAAAAAATCATAAGAAGAAAATGCACAAAAATTCTTTGATTAAGAGGGGTACCCAGAACCTACCATATTCTGTTTCTTCTGCAGCATCTCTAAGTGTTCAACCAATCCCTCATCAGCAACATCAAATGGTGTTTGACCCTAAAGGCATGTATAACAACAGCAAACATTTATTCTGGATTTGGCATTTCTTTAACATGAGAAAAAGATTTCTTTATGTCTTTGTGAAAAACAAATTTTAAAATATGCAAAACTACTTAGCAGAAAGTGGCAAAAACTTCTAGGTTGACTCTTTTTTCTTAGAAACGGTTTCATGTATTTTAACTTGTACTAGTTGCCAAATTAGCTTATATTTTACTATGTATTTTTATCATATAACCATATAGAAGTATGGAGCTGGAAATATATGGCTATTAGACATATTGGGATGTCAAAATATCAGATACTGTTATGACCGATTTAAAAAGGGTACAGTAATAGTATCAAAATTAAATTGTATCAGGTGAATTAGAGCAGATACAATATTTCTAATCCAATTTCCAATCTTTCCTTTTTCTATGACAATTTCTCCATATTAGTCCATGGTTAAAGATTATGTCTGTGATAATCTTAATATTAAATAGACAACCCATGGTCTATTGTGCCATCATTTCAGAGGTATTTCCTTATCTAAACAGAGAAACAGAAGGACCCCGAGTGGGCAAAAAAGCAGTGGGAGAGGCAATGACTTCCTGCCAGTTTCCCCACTGACTTTCCTTGTAGGAAGCTGGCAGGGCATGTTGGAAATCCTGATCATGTGACCTCAGCTGACCAAGGCAGCACAGATTTTGGATGCATTCTATATTGTAGCCCACTTGAGATATGCCGACTCAAAAACTGTCATCATATAATGCACAATTTTGCCCAATTGTGGGTTACAAACCATTGAACACACGAGAGCTTTACCAGTATGCTAGACAAGCCATGCCTCATTAGGTCATCCTTTTGGAGATATTTCCTTATCTTAACAGAGAAACAGAATGACTGTGGCAGATTGCTATTGTTTGGGTTTTAAAATTAAAGAAGAAAATATCTTGTTGTTAAAGAAGAAAGATGAGTAGTAAGACAATAGATTTATCAATGCTACATTAATTGAAGAGTTCATAAGACAGAGAATGCCAATTATCTATCCTGACTTTTCCCTATATACGGTTGAACCTGGCATTTTCTCCAGGGAATGACAATGGCAGACTCTTTGGCCAATGGTGCCGATATCAACAAAAATATTACATTGTGCAAGTCAGGCATTTTGCTTCACTCTTTCTCTGTTGATGTCTTGTTGAAGGTGAGTATTGTCATATTGATGAATTGCAGTAATTAGTATTTGTCACATATTGAGTTGATTTTCCCTTTCCTCCTCCATCTTTTCTTGCTTCCTTTCTCTGCACCTTTCCTTGTGATTCTGGAGATGTGCAGCCTTTTCATCTTCAGTTTCTTCACCTCTCTCTTCCTTGCTGCATCTTGATATTTAGAGTTATCTCTTGACAATGACACCACAACCACTCCTCTTGGTGGTGATGGTATTTTAATTTTTTTAAACCAGTGATACAGTGTATGTTTGTGTGCCAGAGAAGGAGCACATAAAGCAATAAAAATATCCAGCCCTTTCTTCTTGCATCTTAAAGTTGGTTTTTCTTTAAGAGCCACGCAATGAGTCAACTCATTGCTGCTGGGTGGGGAAGGGAGTGAGGGATTGCGAGTCTGGCTGGGAAATAGTCATGGAATGTTGAAAATGAAAACCACACAAGTTCACTCATTTGAGGTTCAAAAATTGTTGCCCTATGATGCATCCTTTTGCCCAGGTAAAGTTAATCACAACTAAAATTTCAGTAGTCTGTGGATTAGTATATCACTAGCTGATTCTTCTTTTCATAAAAAATTATAAACTGATTCTGAAATTCTCATTAGCTACAACCCCAGTCACAATGAAAACAGATAAAATACAGAATCAGATGGCAATATATTGTGTGCATTTGTGTCCTAGAGTAGGAAATAAAGCTCCCAAGTAACAAAAGAAAAATGGCGACTGATTTCCAAGTTATCTTTGTCAACCAGACTATTCACAAGAATATCAATAAAAAAACCAAATCAGAACTTTTCAGAGAATTGATGGCCCAGTCCAGAGGCATTTCTATTGTCAGATAAATTAGCTGGTTTCAAATCTGTTTGGGTACTCATGATGCTTTCTAAATGCACAGTAATTTCAATTCATTTATGTAATGATGAAGAAGTCTCTATGAAGTCTCCTTTCTCCCTCCAACTACTTATTTTTTGAATCCATGTGCTATGATTATCTTGTGTTTTGGGATTTATTTTTTCAAAAACTGCCTCTAGATACCATACCAGACATAGATGCTCCATACATTCTTCAACTGACCACTGAAGCTGTTGCCTTGCAGGGAATTGCAACATCCATATGAATCACTGGTTTCAGGACTATTAGCAGGAAATCTAAATGTTATGCTAAAATTAACTTTAAAGTTTCAAAAAATTCAAACACGATCACCATTGTTATCAGACTTTGTTGTTAAGTTTCCCTTGCCTCTTTTTCACTATTTCCTTAACTCTCTCGATATGCCTTATTTTCCTATATATTATATTTATAGCAAAATTGGTTTTGCCCCAAGAGCCTTAACAGTTTACCTATCATTTCCTCCTATATAGACTTGAATCCTTTCTCAAAATGGGAAGAATATCAAAAAGAAACTTTATAACACTCATTTTATAAAGGGCAAATATTTTTGTTTATGCTGTTGGCCCTGAAGATATTAAGTGAGCTATTACAGTAAACCCATTGTCATGGTCAGGTTAAATTTACAATTTAAAAATAAACATAATAAAGAAAAATAGTATTTTAAACAGCATATAGAATGCATTTTTAGCTGATACAGAGCATAAAATGTACATAATGCAATCCATTTAACTGTTGAGTAATGCTGAACCACAGATAATATCATAAATCAATTTTAAAGATTGTTTAAATGTTGTCATGTAGTCAACATTTCTGTAAAAAAAAAAAACCTTCCTTCTGCTCTGGGAGTATTTATGGTATATTGCTAGTCTAGGACTCACTAACCAGTTTGTTCCTGATGTCCATATCACAGAGTGCTTCAGCCAAGATAGTGCAAGCTTCTTTCACCCCCCAGTGTGCAGCAGCATGGAGTGGTGTCCATCCATCATTGTCCTGAACATTTACATTAAACCCAGCTTGGATCAAGAGTCTAAGGAAAAAATAGTAAAGATGGCAGCAATTCAGTCTTGTAAGTTAGTAGACACTGTAAGCAGCATGCAGTGGCTTTGTGAATGAAGCTTATCCATGACAGAGATTAGTGTGATCAAGTAGACAGCTCTAGTTGATAAAAAGAAATCAAGTTTAAAGTAAAGAGTAAAATAGCTTCTTTCTAACGATGATGGTAATTAATGATTGACCTTACAGACAGAATTGAAGAATCTGATAAAAAAGAGACCGCAAACAGATTTTTAGGAAATGCTTTAGTCAAGCAGAAGCAAATCTCAGAACAATGAGCCAAAGCTGAAGCAGTGGCATTATCTTGTGGATTAACTTCTGCACAATAACATTTAAAATTATCATAAATTATTCTTATATGACAGAATTATTTAGCCCACCATGGTCTAATTTAACTGAAGTTCAGCACAAATATATTCAAACGTCATCTCCAACCATGTCTGAAATTAAATCTAAGACTTGCAAATATTTTATCTCTAGTTGTTCCTTCTTCTGGAGCAAGTCTTTAGCATAATTTGGGGATAAAGCAGTTTAGGATTTCATGGCCACCTTGACAACTATGGGTCTAAAATAATCCAGATTATAACAAGTCTGATTCACATATTCTGGATCTAGTTTTGAACTCAGAGCCAATAGGGTTCTGATAGCAGACAGTATTACAGTAAACCCATTGCCATGGTCAGATTACTTTCTTGTAATCATGATTTGTTAATCCTACCAAACTCTTCAGGGACAATTAAAATGCCTCACTTGAATTTCAGAGGGTCCTTAAGAAATGAACAGGCAATTCAACAGACATTCTATTGAGCACCTAACTAAGTAATGCAATATAGGCATGATGAAGGCACTAGATAGGATACTTCTCAAGTGGCCTCTTTCTGTCTGCTGATCCAGGAGCTTTGGGATGAACTGGGAGGCAAATCAAAATAAGGGGCATATAAAGTTATGCTGCAGAAAACAAATAACAAACACAATTGGCCATGGTATACAGTAAGCTCTTATCTGAGTCTAAACTATGATAAAAGTATAGCAAAAAGTTGGTGCTTCTTGGCATCTACTGTATTAATGGAATGCTATCCAGCCGGATTGTCACTTTTGGATACAAATGGGCCAAAAGAGTTTAGCACTGACCACTGAGACTTCTAAACACTTTATTGATAAAATCATTACAGCTCATTTGGAATTAAACACTGGCTGGCTGGACTCTGAAGAGATGGCATCCAGTGATAACATCTGAGATTTGTCTAATTCTGGGAACTTGATAAAATGAAGAGCATCCTCTGTGAGAGAATTCTGCCATGTGTGATCTAGGTCCACATATCACTAAGGAAGGAAGAAGTGTTAGGTTCAAGTAGTGAATGACTTTGGTATGGAGAGAGTGATGTTACCATCAATCCTGTCAGGTCCCACAAACCAAGAATGACATGTAAAGTTATTTAAGAGTAGTTTCCTTTATTGTTCTTCACCTACAGACAGGATCTTGCCAGCCTCAAGCTAATATTTGCATAACTAAAGATATACCCTGGGAATAGCTAGGGAGGAGTCATTTTAACCCTCTTCATGTCAAACAAACTTTCCAAGCTCTTCCACTTCTTTGCCCTCTGGAAAACAGCCCTACTCTCCTAGGAATTCAGACTACATTCCAGCACAAATCCTTCTGGGTAGCCTGCAAGTGGTGGAGGGTGGGAGGGATTGTTTGGAAGTTGTAGAGTTTAAACTAGCTACTTTATTGCTCTATGCCAAGTTCACAGGAATCTTCCCAGACTGGCAAATTCATCTGGGACAGACTAGATAAGGCTCAAAGGCATTCAAGAGAGAGTCAGACCTTGCTGTCTTATGTTTATGTAACAGGTCAATGCTAATTCTCCATTTGATATCCCCTCCGGAGTGGGACAGTTGCTCTCCAACACTGACAGATGGAAGGATTAGACAAGTTACTGCAACATTCTGTTTCAAGTGACAGTTAATGTTACTTTCTTACTACTACCCCAAAAATGGCCTATATACATATATTAATGAACTTAATAAATGGTACAGGACACATAAACAATTGCAGCATTGCTTCAACTGGGGGTCAGTTTCAAATGACATCAGTATTGCATAAATCAAGTCATAACTGCTATCCCATTAGTTTCAAAAGAATCTAAAATCAAGTAAGTCAGCCTAGGAGGAACTGTTGTAAAGAACTAGAACTCAGCACCCTTCCATGTCACTGCAAAATCTCTTACAAGGCACAATAAAAATAATAAATTTCAGAAATTCCAAGATCTCTTAGTCTCTGAAAAGTCAATGAAATCATTCTATATCTATGAAATGTTCAAATATACAACATATGATATTTCCTGAATGGAAGTAATAAAGGCATAAAAATAATGCATAAACATGTGGTTTACACAGCACTGGTAAATACAGAAAGCAAGCTTTCAAAAACTGAGATCAAAAAGTTCTGCTTCCCAAAAAATGAACACTTAATGGACAAAGGAAGTGTGTTGTTCAATAAAGTTTTTTCAAATACTGATGCTTCCAATACTGTCATTCTGGTTTGCAGTATGCAGCAAGTCCCAGAAGTAACAAAAAAGCAGGCAAATGTTACACGCAAGTTAACTGATATTTTCTCTGAAGTTAATAAAACAAGCAAACGTTTTTCCAAAAAGCAAAAATCACTGTAGTGTATCGGTATGCTCTCATCTTACAAGTAGAACCCTGATTTGTATTTACTAAGTTTGGTGTAGCTATGTATGCCATTTAAATAGAGACAGACAACTGTTCACCATTCCTGTATTGCAGGGATGTCAAACTGAAGCCCTGTGGGCCGAATCCGGCTCGGGATGAGGCCGGATCCAGCCCACGTGGCTATCCTGGAAACTGTAAGGGCCCAGCCCGCATCACTTCGGCCTGGCCCACGCCATCCCAGTGGTGTGTACGTGCACAGGCCCAGTTCTCCGCCGCTGCGTACAAGGCAACTAAAGTAGTCTGTGGGACGATGGTAAAAAAAAAATAGTTCTGATCTTCCAACCTCGTGGGATTTTTTTTTTCATGAGAAGTTGGAAGGTCTACCATGGTCCCAAGGACTACTTTTTTTACCATAGTCCCAAGGACTACTTTAGTTGCCCTGCACATGGTGACAAAGAAAAGCAGATTAGTGAAGGGATGTGGCTGCCCTGGGATGGGGTGAGGGTTTGGCATGGGTGGCCTGGCTCAAGGGACATCAGGTAAGCCAGGTGGGGTGGGTGGGGCAGCTCCGCACCCACTGCCTTGCTTCATCCTCCATTCCCCCCCCCCCACTGCTTCGCTTCGTTCTTCACCACTTCTCCTTGCTTGCTGCCATAACCTAGCAGGAGGCGTTTAATATTAATTATATATAATTATGGTACCTTCTCTGTGAAAGTACCTGCTCTGTACAACAGCATCTGTCTGGAATCCTAGTCTTGTAACTTTTTTGAAAGGTTCTGAAAGCCTGGTTGTTTTCCCAGGCATTTGGGCCAGGATTTGGTTATATGAACTCTGCTGGTGAGATGGTTTCTAATGATTTGTTATTTTAAGCTTGGATGTCAATGTGCTATTTTTGTTTTAAATCTTGAATCCTATCCAGATTCACTGTTATGAGATGAGCAACCATATAAATCATACAAGTAAATGACAAAATGAGCTAAAAGTTAACCAACTACCGTACATTATGGCTCGTAGTATATTTGAACCCAGCCATGTAACTCATTTGGTTGCAATTATTCCCATAGTTTAGTATAGAAAACAATGAAAAGAGATCAGTACCTCATCACCTCACAGTAGCCTTTAGCTGAAGCTACGTGGAGAGCAGTAGCCCCTGTTCGAGGGTGCTTTCTCTCTTCAATTTTCCTTCTATTTAGCCACTGTCGGGCATCCTGCAACATTTGTTGTTCTTCTGCTTTTCTGGCCTGATCAAGATCCACCCCTGGAGAAACAGACTGCAGGTGTAAAAAAACCTCAAGGTAGAACAAAGAATGATAAAAGGGAAGTGGAGGTAAATATCCACCTTATTGCAATGGGAGTAGAATTAAGATTTTTTTGACTACATATTTAAAAAAAAATTTTTTTTTGCTCTTAGGAACATAGCTTTTTTATAATTCTACTGAACAACACTTGATGCTTTCAAGTCATACTGAAGAACAACTGCCAGAACTGCTAATTAGTATGGCCAATGATTATTCCTCATCGTCAACAAAATACTGAGGTGCTTGTACATGGAATACTTGCAGAAAATTATGATCAATGAGAGAAAAGCCAGTTTCCACCTATGGGGTGAAATAAATCTACTAAAATTCCCACTTCCAAAGCATATTCTGTAAGCTGTCTTGAGTCGTAATGTGCAAATAGGCAGCAATATAAATTCCATAAATAAATAAATAAAGTAGGTTTCCTTACTGAGAAACTTAGATAAATTCTTAACTTAATCTTAATCTTAAATAAATGGGGGGGGGAACGTACTAGTCACAACTATCTATTTCAGCGTTTCTCTACAGTCAAAATATCAAGATGTTTTCATATGAATCTTTATGGGAGAATGGAACAATTTTTTATGCTAAGTTTGTTCAGGAGAATAAAAAAAACAATTAGCATTTGGTTATTATGATATAAAACTATTATTATGAGTCACACTTTTAAAATGACATATTTTATCTAAAACTTAAAAAGATTCCGCAGAAAATTAAACATATTTAGAAATGAATGGAGCAAATAGTTTGCAGACACCTAAAACATCATCACCAATAATTTAGCTTTTTATCAGCTGGGGAGAATCAAATTGGCTTCATTTCCAAGATAACATACTATAATTGGGAAGAACTGCACTTTGTACAGTACTTTTCTTTATAGCTTTTGGGCAACCACCCATATTTCCTATACACTAAGTAGCCAATCACCAAACTGTAAAAAATCTCTCAAGGCTCTATGAACCATATAAAATAATATGTCTATATAAATTTATAAATTTATATATTTATAAATATATATTTATAAATATATATAAAATTATATGTCTATATAAAATAATCCTTTGTAATTTCATATGAAATGTAAAGCAACATTTTCCATATGTCGGTCATCAAGCTTGGTTTCTCCAGAGGAGAATCCATAAATCTTCAGAGGATACTTAGAATGTCTATTACAGAAAGAGTTCAAGCTGCAATTGCCAAAAATACGCTGGGCAAGAAGAATGGATGATGATCATATGGGATAGTTAAGTTTTGTAAGTATCTCACAGATACTGTGGGGCAAAATTTTGTTTTACACATATGTGTTCATCGTACAAAACTCATTCTACAATAATTACCTATTACAAATGCAATATTTTTATATATTTTCAGAATGTTTATCTTCCTTTCTAAAAATCATAATAAGATGTGGAGCCAAATGTAAGAATTGTATTTCATGCCATCCATCTCTGTTCCTGAAGAAGAAGAAGAAGAAGAAGAAGAAGAAGAAGAAGAAGAAGAAGAAGAAGAAGAGAAGAAGAGGAGGAGGAGGAGGAGGAGGAGGAGGAAGAGGAGGAAGAGGAAGAGGAAGAGGAAGAGGAAGAGGAAGAGGAAGAAGAAGAGGAGGAGGAGGAGGAAGAAGACCCATCAAACAAACTCTAATGATAAGGAGATGCCTAGTTGCCTTACCCTGTTTCTTTACTTGTTCCAAAAGCAAATCTTTCATGGCTGCTTCCTCTGCAAGGTCAGCTGGGACTTCACCTTCACTATTCACAGCAGCAACATTGGCCCCATGATTTATCAAGTACCTAGATGGATGAAAAATAAGTGAGACTCAACTTCAACCCAGGCTTAATTTATATGGCCCTCAAATAAGGCAAGTCACCAGGTAAGAAATCTTCCATCACAGGAAAGAAGCAGTGATAGTTAATTTCTCGGTTAATTGAGAAACTGTAATAGATCTATAACCTTTTGGAAATAACTAAGGAATTTTTCCCCCATGTTAGTAACATTGAACTATTTTATTTTTTTTTAATGTAAAAGCATCATCTATTCCAAATATGTATCTCTGGTTCATCCAACCTTTCTATGCGAAAAAAGATTACAGTTCAAAAAGCTGAGCTGATTCTTATGGTTTGGCTAATTTATATATTCTCGTCTCAAACTCCTCTTGCCATTGCAGTATCATAAAGATCATTATCAAACATTACAATGCAATCATATCTTCTCAGAAATAAGTCCCCCTGAGTTTAGTGAGACTTACTTCCAGGGAAAATATGTACAACAGTTCCATTTGTTAATTTCTGAAGTCTGCATTCTTTACATCTCAAATGGTTCCAACAGTAAAAGGAACTCTTCATTTCACTGCACTAGGCCACCATACGCTTATATTTATCAAAGAAAGCTAATGGAGACTGGCAAATATGGAACTCACCATCCCATCCCATTGCAATAACTCTTGTTTTCAACCTTTTTTTCCAGCTTGGATAGGGGAATTAGGGAATGTTTATTATCAGAGGTTCATCAACCTTATCAGAAGGTTAAGGTTAGGGTTTGCTTTATTGCAGGTAGTCCTTGCTTACTAACAGTAATTGGGACCAGGACTTCATTGTAAGGCATGACACCACATAACTCTGCTGATTTATAATAGCAATCCCAGTTGCTCTCATTAGGCAAATCCCATATGGTCACAGGGTTCTGCTGTCACACGATTACCATTTGCAACCTTCTGGTGGCTTCCTCCTTGACTCTGCTTGTTAGAAACCAGCAGTGAAGGTCATAAATGGTGATCACATGAATTCAGGCCTGTGACATCGTAATTGCAAGCCAGTTGCCAAGTGCCTGAATTGTAATAACATGACTATGAGGACAGTGCAATGGCCACAACTATGAGGGCCCTTTTTGTAAGTGCTCCTCATTCAGCTCCATAGTAAATTTGAACAGTCGCTGAATGAATGGACTTAAAATGAGGTATCATCAATATGCTGATGATACTCAACTTTACATCTCTAGCCCTGGTGATCCAAGTGACATGCTAAGCTGCCCTCTCAAGGTGTCTGGAGGCTGTGGAGATCTGCATGGGGGACCACAGGCTTCAGCTGAACCCTGATCAGACAGAGTAGCTTTGGGTTCAAGGGACCTTGGGATCTGGGGGTTTATCATCTTTAGTTCTGGATGGGGTTGCAGTATCCCATACAGATTCCATGCATTCTCTGGTGGTTCTCCTAGCCTCACCACTCCTGCTCACAGAGTTGGGGCTAGGAGAGCCTTGGCAAGACTTTATGTGGTGCACCATTTGCACTCTTTCCTGGATTGTGAGGCCCTGCAGATAGTCACTCATGTCCTGGTCATGTCTCAATTGAATTACTGCAACGTGCTCTACATTGGAGTACACTGAGTATTTGGAAGCCCACCATTGATGCAGAATGCAACTGATGAAAAATGTTCCAGATAGTTCTGGAGGCCTCTCAGGTGGCAGATGTAACACCATGATCTGCCAGTTTGCCTGTGGGTCCAATTCAAGGTATTGATCAATAGCTTTAATTAGCCTTTTATGGCATGGATCCATGGTATCTGAGGAGCAGTCTCATCCCCATGGGACTAGCCCACCCCACTTGCTCCAGTACAAGAAGCCTTGTTTGGAGCCCATCTGCCAAAGAATTTTAGCTGATGGGGTTCAGAAGAAAAGCCTTATCTGCTGTGGCCCCTGCCCTCTGGAATAGTTTCCTGCTCGAAGTGAGATCTACCCCCAACACTCTTGGCCTTCTGGAAAAGCCTGAAAACCTGGTTCTGTCAGTTGGCTTGGTGCTACACTGAGGGATGGCTGACAGAGTAGAGAGAAGATCCCCAGCCCCATGTCATCATCTTCTTTTAGTTTCAGGTTTAATCCTAACAATTCTAATTGTTTTGTATTACCTTTTTCACTTTTTTATTATATTGTTTAGTTTAGTTTAGTTTATTTGATTTGTATACCGCCCTACTCCCGAAGGACTCAGGGCGGTGAACAGCCAACAATAAAATACATAAATACAAAAAATTTAAAAACCAGATAAAATCAAATTAAATCATTTTGGCCCAGACAGATTAAAACACCCCAATAATTTAAAAACAGATTAAAATGTACATATTTAAAAAGGGCCACCCACAGTTGCTGAATCAGTGAGATGGGTGGCAGAACAATTTAATGAATAAAGAAATAAAGACTACCTGTATTACTACTGTTGTTATTAGTTTTTCCTTTGTAGCACCACAAAAATGAAATAACAGCTGATACGCATTTGGAACCTATTCTGTTAATCAGTATTGGATATCTCGGATGTTATACAGTCTTTTGGTATCAAAGATCCTATTTACTTGTCACAGAATTTCTCTAAGGAGTTAACTGCATGTAGTGTTTTCAATGCTGTTAAAATGTAAAGTTCTAAATAATAATACCAACACAACATAATCATCCTAAATTTAAGACTTTATGCATTGCTGAAGTGTAAATGTAAATCAGAGAGAGACCACAGTATTAAAATCAAAGTTACCATTGCAATATTCTAACAAGTTTGGTTTATTGTTTTTATTCATTTGATCTTGTTATTCATTTGGTCTGTATCTCATCTTTCTACTTATTTTGAGCATTCCATCATTTACCCTGAAGATTTAGAGGACTGCTGACAATTTTTGTTACTTTCGGCTCATACTTTGTAAAACAAATCCATGCAAACAGAAACATACCTATATTTTAGCCTCATGGGTACCTGCTTGGCAATTCATTTAAAATTATTGCCCCTCTCACAACATCTGAAACTGAAATAAATCAAATACTCTTTCTAGTATGCAGGTCACACTGAAACTCACTCACTCTGCTATGTTCAGATAGCCACAAGATGCAACTGCATGAAGTGGGGTCCACCCCTCGTTATCTTGCTGATTTACATTGGCTCCATATTCTACCAGAAATTTTACCATGTCCAGGTTTTCATCTATACAGGCCTTTGGAATAAGAAGGGAAGTGGGAATGAAAAGAGAGAGAAAGAGAAAGATTAAAATGAGCAAATATCACTTTCAGTTTTAACAGCTGTAAATGATAGCAGGGACTTCACTCCCATATTGAGACTGCCTTTCTTTCAGCAACCACTGATGTCTTCATACAGCCTGGTTCTCCTTTCACTATGCAAACAAACCGGGAGTCAACTCCCCGCAAAATGACCTTTTGAAATTCATTTTAGGAATGGCATCAAATCCAAGAAGCAGATTAAAAGTTGGAACGTGTTATTCCAGGAAAGCTTCAATGAAAGAGATTGTGTCAGGGCATTCAATGAAATGATATATGGGAGAACTAAAGCAAGTAAGATTTCTGCAAAATGCTTAAGTTAAGAGCCAATTAGAAAAAAGGAATCATTACTTAACTTAGAGAAAATAAAATAGTAGGGTTTTGGTTTGTTTGTTTTTGTCTTTGAGTCAGGTTTGGGGGGATTTTTTTATTCCTGGCAACTTTGTGGAGAGGTGTCTGAAGTTTTCTTGGCAAAATGTTTGAAGTGGTTTGCCATTGCCTCCTTCCTGTGATAGAGATAGAGTGACTGGCCCAAGACTGTGAGTTCTAGTTTCACCTTAGGCACAAAGCCAGCTTGGACCAGTAACTCAGCCTTAGGAAGGAGGCAATGGCAAACCACTTCCAAAATCTATCTCAGCAGTTACCCAGGATCAACACTGAATCAAAGGCAAATCTAAAGATAAATCTATCTTATCATTATCAGAGGTCTACACTAATACAAAGCATTTGTCTTCCCAAGTAGGTCCCAAACATCAAATGTTCAAAGAAACTAAACAACTTTAAGAAAACAGCATGTGCAAACTTTGAGAGAAGTCAAGTATATTTTGTGCACTGAATACTAAAATAGAACTGATATAGATATTAAATAAAAAATGTTTTTACAAGTATAATATATTGGCTTCCCACTAAACAGACAAATTATTAAAATCAGAGATATAATAATAAAAAAAAATACTTGGCAATGCTACCTACATGCCGTAAAGAACTATGTCTACCAAGGCACAGAATTGGGACATTCTGCAACCATGCTACAATATTAAGGAAATATCAGGTTTGTGCTGCACATTTGTCTGGAAATAATTATATGCAACTGTATAAAAATAACTACTAAGTGTAAACTGCAGTATAAAAATAACTAGTATGCAAATAATCAATATGGAAAATAAATTTACAAGTTATTCTACTAATACAGGGGTCAGCAACCTGCGCCCCTGGAGCCACATGTGGCTCTTTCACCCCTCTGCTGCAGCTCCCTGTCACTCAAAATATGTGTCACAACCGCCAATGTGCAACACCCGCCAGCACACGATTTATTGAGCTTTTCAACCCCTGGTAAGCCAACCATGGATAAATCGAAGAAAAGAAAAATTTCAGAAGAAAACAGAACGTTTGATTCAACTACCTATGCTAGTTTTGTGGTCGCTCAAGAAATAGTCAGGCATGGGAGGGGTTTTGTGGCTCCTGGTGTTTTCTTTTCTGTGGGAAATGGTTCCAAATGGCTCTTTGAGTGTTTAAGGTTGCAGACCCCTGTACTAATAAGAATCCAGAATGCAATGGCGAGCTCACATGTCCAGGACACATAAAATAAAAATACAATATGACTCATATGGGCTGTTTGTGAAATGATCTGATCAGTTGCAGAATGCTACCTCCTATATTCTCTGGGTTCAGGATATTTCTTAGCCACTGGCTAAAATGCAAAACCCATAACAAATAAAATACAGAACACAAGAATACCAGAAGTAATTGTTTTCTTACTGATACATGAGCGAAACCTACAGAACCACTTATTCAACTGCAGTTTAAATCCCTTGCTGTGGTTGTTTGAGGGGCAAAGCAAAGCCTAAAAGCTGAAATTCTTTTTGTATAGCAAGCCCTATAGACAGTAGAACAAAAACTGTGGCTTGCAAGCTGTAGGCAGCCAACAAACCCCACCTCCCCCATATCAGCTGCTAGCTATTATGTAGATGGGCCTATTTGTTCCACTATTTTTATGATATAAGAAAAGCTATACTGGGATGAATAGAGATGTAAAGACCTAAAGTAAAATTATTTTTCTTTCCTCACCCTGTAAAAATAGTTTTCCTTTTTTCTCTTTTCTACTATTGTCCACATCTGTTGTTTTGAATGCATCACAGAAATCATTTTATTTATTTTTTAATCTTGGTCTTTAACCTATGCAATGTACTTTCTTACATAAATGTTAGCCTTTTTATTCATCTTTACTTTATACATCTTTTCCTTTTTGCTTACTTTTACAGGTATATAATCTTTCTTTATTTTTTTCCTTTCTCTGATTCATGCTTTTTAATATTTATCCCTTTTATATTCCAAGTCACAATAATCCAGATGGCCTGAGAAACACTGAAAGCTGCTACCCGTAGTAGTTTTGGTCAACTAATGCTATCACATAACGCTTTTTAGAAAACTATAGAAAGTGTGACTAGGTTACAATAAGACCAGCTTAGTCTTATTCATGCAATTTGCAATTTGTTCTGCTTACGATAAGCTCAGTATCGATCAGTTTTGGCCCATTTTGAGTGCACACACAACCAATGCTCTGTTTACCCAGCACAATCCCTATATGAATTACCATCTCTAATGTAGAGATTCGCTTGCAAGCCAATACATTGTTGCCCCATCTTAACTGATGATGAAATACATATAGTGCACAATATAGTGCACTGGTATACTAAAATGCTAAAATGACACTCATGTAGATTAATTTGAATAGATATTACAATTCAGTTTATTTGGCTACTTACATTTTAATTTATGGAACTAGCTTTCACGAAGAATAATTTGTTTTTAATTGTACACTGAATTTATTTCGCTTTTGATAGCGTACTATTATATTTTGCATTGTATATTTTATAAAATAACATTGTGTTTCTTTACTATTTCTCATTCCCTACCCTCCAAATCAATAAATCAAACAAACAAAACTAATGAGAAATTAGTTAACCATGTACTTTAAAGGGGTGATTTTGTGCTTTTTCCTAAGAAAATTGTGTCTAATTTTATTAAATTCTTGTCCAAAAAAAGGGCAACTTTTTTTGGGATTGTAAATTTGTCATATTTGAGATGTTACAAATGCACTGAGTATGTATGAGTCAGTAAAGCATGACCGAGTAACTGTCAATTTTACTTGAAAGTTCACTAGTGATTTACATTAAAATAATTGTTTTGTTACATCTTTAAAAAGGAAAGAGAGACTAAGTAAGTAGGCATGATTTGGGAATTATTACAGATAAGAAATCCAAAAGAAAGAACAGGTGACAAAGCAGGCAAAATGACAGTGATTGGATATAATACAATCTGGCTTAATATTATGGACTTCCGTTTTGTATGAGGATTTTTTTTCTTTTTTTAAAATGGTAATGGGAAAATAAACTGGTGCATTTGTTTGGATTTTGCGGTGTGTGTAAATCAAAGCACAGTTATATTTAAAATATGGCTGTTTTGCTCTCCTCTCTTCAGTAAAACTCTTTTTTCTGTGCTTTTTTCTTTGCAAATTTTCAACTCAATACATTGTTCTATACCCGTGATGGCGAACCTATGGCACGGGTGCCACAGGTGGCACACGGAGCCATATCTGTGGGCACGCGAGTGTTGTCCTAGCTCAGCTGCAGCGCGCATGGGCACACCGGCCAGCTGATTTTTGGGCCTTCCGGGCCCAGTGGAGGGGCCTCTAAAGGGCCTCCGGAGGTGTGTGGAAGGCCGTTTTCACCATCCCCAGACTCCAAGAAAGTCCCTGGAGCCTGGGGAGGGTGAAAAACAGGCCTACCAGACCCACCGGTAACCTTTTTGCCATTGCGTGCCAAAAGCGAGGGGAGTGTGGGGCGCGCATGTGCGGGGGGGCGGGGCACGGGGGCATTGAATTATGAGTGATCCCCCCCATGCTCCCCACGCTTTTGGCACATGATGGCAAAAAGATTAGCCATCACTGTTCTATACATTGCCATGTTTGCATGCTGACTAATGCAACTGTAAAAAGCTCACTTATAAATTGATAATATGATAAATTAGATATTTAGAGAGGGGGAGTAGCTGCTGCTATCAATTCTGCCATACTGCAAATAAGGACTCTAGAAAAATCTGTAGAAATCACTGGCATATTTTTTCTTCAGATCCTTACTTTTCAGTGAGGTTTATAGAGAATCCTCACTCTCAAAGAACACAAGGCATCCTCCCATTTCAAAGACTGCCTTGTCCTGCTTTCAGAAAAAATATAAATTTGTAGATTAGATGTATTTAATCTATATCAGAAATAAAGCTCAGAATTAGATGGCAGTACAAACAGCAGCATTAAATCAATCAACCAGCATATTGAAGCAACAGCACCTGTTTGTCCCTTGAAAATTTGGCTTCTGTAATATTTAATCAGGCTAAATTCAATTCAAAAGCAAGAATCTAAAGCACAGTTTCTGTTCAATCAAGGAACCATACAATGATGTTTTCGAGTAATTCTAGCTCAAGCATGCCCAAAATCTTTGCCACTACTGTTATAGTGTTGTGAAATCCTTCCAGATTCGGTTTGACTTGATATTCATTTCCCTGTGATATAATTCTAGCAGTTTCTTCCTCTAAAACAGGTATGTATTACTTCCCACAGTCCTGGGACCTTTGCAGTTTTGTTGAGCATGTACAGGACTGAATTTCAAAAGGAATGAACTGAGGGCCTATTTAGGAAGAGGATTTCAGAAATTTTAAATAGTGAAGCTGTTGCCTTAAGGACCGGAAGCCTTAAAATTCCAATTTTGCCTTTTAAAAGTACCCCAAAATACAGAGAAACCTTTTCTGTCTTATTTATTTGGAGGAAACTAGGGCCAAACTTATAGCATTGTTTTCCAGGCTCAAAACATTCTTTCTTGTATTATTTTCTATACAGCCTTGCTACTCATGAAGCAAGAGGAGCGATCTTAAGTAATTGCTGCAA